GATGTGAACAAAATCTATGTCTCGTACTTTGCTGTCGATAAACCTTTGGAAAGTTTGAGCAACATTCCGTAATCCAAATGGCATTTGCAGGAACTCAAACAAACCCAAAGGAGTCGTGATAGCGGTTTTTCGATATATTCAAGAGCGACTGGGATCTGATGATATGCTCGTACCGAATTGATCTTAGAAAAAATAGTCGTGCCCTTGAGCGACGCCGTGATGTCATGTATGTGGGGAATGGGATGGCTATCAAGGCGTGTGATTAAGTTTAGAGCTCAGTAGTCGCCGCATGGTCTCCAACTAACCCCATCCTTTTTGTGCACCATGTTAAGAGGTGGGGCGCAGGAACTGTGAGAAGGATGAATGACACCAGTAGCTAACAAACTGTCAGACTCACGATTAGCGGAAGCTAATCGGTGACAGTCGGCGAGGTTTTGCCGTGACTGGGGGTCCGTAAGTGACTATGTGGTGTACCACACGGTTGTTCACCGATGGGATTTCCTCAAGAGGTTTAGTTAATTGGGTGAATTTCCCGAATAAAGCGTGGAATATATCGTCTCGCGAATAAACGGTTCCTAAGATTTGGTACGCGTTTGTTTGAGCCTAAAAGCCCATGAATTTACTGTTCGACGAAGTATCGATTAACTGCAGCCTACGTGAATCGACTAGCAATTCATAGTGCTGTAGGAAATTGATACCGAGTATGGCTGCGGGGACATCAGCAAAGAGGAACGTCCACAGATACCGTCGTCCGTTGCCCAGGTTGACCGTGAGCTGTCGTATACCATAGGTAGGAATGACTGAGTCATTATCAGACCGTAGCCGAAGTGTCGTAGCTTGTGACCTACTGTTACCAATAGGTATGACAGAAACTTGAGCACCTGTATGTACCAGGTACCTAGCGTTAGTGTGATGATCGTGCACATAAAATAAACGGCCAACCTGGGATGGGAGCTGGCGAGTACGGTCGAATTTACTCGCCGGCTCGGGAGTTTCCTACATCGTATGAGCATTTAGCTCGACAGCGGTGGGCACCGTACATGAAAGTACGATGGAACCAGCACCGACCCGCATTCGCTTCAGAAGCTACCTTTTGGCGTGGCTTGGAATATGTACGCGTTGGGCGAGTAGTTACGGCTTTACAAGAGCGCGACCTGGCTCGAGGGACGTAGGGTTCAAGTATATCGGAACGATTTCGGAAATGTAGACGTGTATGAATGCAACCACCCCTTTCACCTTGAGCCGAAAGGCAGCTAGCGTCGAGGTCTACGTTCGAACGGGATGTTGAGGCAACCACAAGATTGTCTCGAATGCTAGTCCTTGCTAGTATCTTATCTCCTGTGAGGGCCACCTGGCTAAGTGGGTTGTCCTCGAGCAGAGCCGTAACTGTTGGTTGTATACTTGCTGGTAGGGATTCGAGCTACAATTATTTAACAATTTCAAAATCTGTTGTCGTAGGTCTTGCAAGAGATTGCAGGCGCGTGAGATGGTGGCTCGGTTTAGCATCACCCAGAGGGTGACGTGCTAAACGTGTCCTCAAGCGTTCCTTCATCGACGGGAGGAAATGTCTGAGAATCGCCTCCTTGAGACGATCTTAAAAGTGAGGCACATTCGGGTTGAGGAAAACCTTACAGACAGCAGCTATGTTGTCCCCGGTAGTGTTTCCAGAGCGTAAGTGTACTTCTGCTGTTGGTTCGTTATGCGGCGGACCTCGAATTGAGATTCCAGTGCTGCAAACCAAACTTAGGGATCGTGGGAAATAAAGGATACAGGTCAAAAATTAATGACCCGTACGTCTGAGTCTATCATATTGATGCTATTCTTATCGTTATCCACCATAACAAGTTGTTGCCTGGATTTTATATACTGAAAACCACATCTACAGGAATATTCCCTTCTTTTACCGCAGCCCGATTTTCTCTCGTAATGAGCAGGTTTGTCAAACACGATAGGCCATTCCGAAAACCATGTTGTTTCCTGGATAGAAGATAATGCCCTTCCACATATTTTATAACAGCCATCCGAATAATCTTTCCATTAGTTTTACAACTGAACTGGTTAGACTAACTGGTCAATAGTTACAAACTATGTCTCTACTCCCCACCTTATACACCGGACTAGTTATTACGTTTTACCAGTCTCTTGGCAATCGGGACTGCTTCAGAGACATATCAAACAGTATGGCTGTAGGTTCAGCAGTTACATCCGATAGAGCTTTCATAATCTTAGGATGAACACCATCAGGACCACTGGACTTAGAGGTTTGAGATGCTGAAGTATTCTTAAGATAGTACTTTCCTCATTAATTACAGGGTCCACCAACAGGCTGCTACAACCATAATTAATTGTTGGTCGTTCCTCATTGCTGATAGAAAACACTTTACTGAGATATTGTGATAAAGCTTCAGCTTTTTTAGCATCATCTATTGCCAATATTAACGGATTTTCTTGTACCGAAAGTGATAGAACTCCATCACTTATCTGAATTCTCCGTTTTATCTATGAGAATGATCGTTTCGGACTATTTTTACAATCCCTAAGCAATTGTTTTTTATATGACTGTTTAGTCTTACTTATTAACGCTTTTCAACCATTCCTAGTCTCACAATAACTGGGTCTGTACTGTTCTCAGTCAGCAGAGGATAGACATATTTCAGTGCTTTTTCCTACGTCTAAGAAGTTGCTTGACTTGCTTAGTTATCCATGGTGGACAGTTTTTCGCTCTACGTGGTACTAGGTATGGTATGAAAGAGGACGTAACTTAACTAAACTTACCTATAAATATAGACCATGCTTCTTCAACTGATGAGCTAGTATCTAAAGACCAATCCATCTTATCAGCGCACTCTTAAATGGTTAATGTATTAGTTCTTCATAGATTTGGGCGAGGCTTAATCTGATCTCATATCATGTCACTAGCTCTAAACATGAGTGACAAAATAGCGTGATTGCTATTCCCTAACGTTGGAAGAATATTGAAACTGGCAATGTCCTCAGTTGCACCAGTGGTTACCAAGTCTAACAAAGAAGAACCTTGGTTTGCACTGAAACGTGTAGGTTCAGTTACACGCTGCGCTGATGGAAGCTCCGTCATGGTCATCAGAAACCTACCATCAAAAGAGTTTATAGATCCTACCGTGGTCATCTCAGTTCAACTAATATCAGGTGCACTAAAGTCTCCTAATGTTAAGCATCTGCTATTTGCACTCCATAGCTGAATGTGCTCTGAAACAAAGTCATCAGCTAAGCAGATTGGGCTGTTATAGATGACACCGAGTATAAATGTACAACATCTGATAGTGAGCTCAAAGCTAATGACATCACAAGTTCCACTATCATGGGACGCGCAAGTAAAGGAGCAGATATTTATATTATTGGCTATGTATAAAAGGACGCAACCTCCTTCCCTATATCTGTGTTTACCACTTCTTAGGTCATGGTATCCGGATAATTCTGGGGTAATTTCGAAGTCATGAACTAACCAACCTCCTGTCACAACTACTATGAATGGCTTTAATTTGTCCACTAACGCTTCTAGTTCGTAGAATTTATTTATTAGATTACGAGCATCGGTATATAAAACTCCAAGGAAGAAAGGACTATCAACACAGGCCTTGATAGCATTCGCTTCCAAGACCCATCAATGGGAGATTTTCCTCACCGTTTTGTCGACGAGTTTTTAGTTCAGCTAGTACCATCCTTCTTTTTATTCAATCTTCAGGAGATATATACTATCAAACTTTGGTAGTGTATTTTGTGGAAGTTAACCAATGGTTTGCTAACCAATTGTGTACCGCTTATGGCTTTTTCCCTCTCACTTCTTGTTCTCCGTACCGTCGTCCATTTTTCATCATTCAGACAGTCACATATGACTATTCGGGACAGTGAGCCTTTTGTCCGGTCTTCAATTTTCACTGAAGGTACATGACTACCCATGTCAATATCAAGTGCACTTCATTTCTCGTTAGTTTCAACTGAGATTTTACTTTTTCCTCAATTACAATCGGCTGTTTAACGCGTCCCTTAACAGCAAGTACCACACTGACACATTTTTCACTGCCAATACTCCTGTTACCATTGCAACTACCATCTTTCTTCTAACAGGCCAGAGCTTATAGGCTCACAGCCTCCTGGCTCAGTAACATCTTATTCGTACAGCATAATATACAAAGCCAATGCGAGTTAGGCTTTGAGCATCTTTTGTGTGCGGTGGTACTTAAACGGGTACACATCTTTTGGAACCACTTTTTATGCTGGCCACATTGCATTCCTCCCTGCACGAGGAATAAACAATTTAGCTATCCATATTTATAAGTACTACCAACCATTGTAATCCGATTAGGAAGGTCTAAAACACAATATGATCACAATATGTACACAACGGTCGGAGTCAATGAGAAAGAAGGTACCACAAGACAAAGTTTGGCAAAATTTCAAACCTCAACCGCAGTACTCCGAGTTAAAGTATTCCGAGAATGCTTTTTGATGCAACAAGTGCATAAAAGCAGATATAAACTCAACAAGTACTAAATCACTAACTTTTTTTAAACGCGCGGTTCATAGAATCTGGCGAAAAGTTAGTAGAGTTGGGTCAACTTCATTCGTTTTACATGTCGATATTATATACTTACTGTGGGTATGTTTTGCAAAGATTTATTAACCACAGAAGTCGTATTACCTTCCGTATTTCTTTCACGCAGGTCTTGAAGTCATCTCAAATAGTCACTCGTTGTGATAGCAAGATTGAAGATTCGTCATACATCATGCATTACTATGATCGCATCACTTTCATTACTTGGAGGATGGACGTTATCAGGCAGTGTGGCTGAACTCGAGCCAAATCTAAAACCGTCTTGCTTTGATCGCTTCTGCAAAGCCTTACAAACTGTCGAGGTGACGCACCAATCGTTTTATGATGGTTTGACCTTCAAGTGCTCAGCAGCCTCCAACAAACGACCATTGCCCACCGCGCCAGGAGACACACGCTCAACCTAGTGGGACAAAAATATTCAGCAATGGATGCAAAACGAAGTGGCCTTGAATTTGACAAGACTGCTGAAAAAGTAGGTCTCAGTGTTTTCTTCATGTACAGCAGGTGGTTATGGAACCATATAGTTACATATGTAGTACAAATGGGAAAGGAATTCGCAGTGCATTGGTGGCAGCCTTTAATTATTGGCTAAAAGTTCCTGAAAGTGTTTTGAGTGTCATATCAAGTGTAATCCAAATGCTGCACAACGCCAGTTTGATGTAAGTCTTTTCATGAGTTTATTGCAGTTACCAGTAATACCTAGCATACACATATACGTAAGTATTCTTTAGTAAATTGGTGATTTAAGAATCTGGGATTTGGTTTTTTCTACCACAGACTTGCAAGTCTAACGCGCTTACTAGTCAATGGGTTACTCAAATGTATGGGTGTTGTAGACAAAATTTCACTCGATGTTGATAATAACAGTACTACATCATTACACTCCCCAGTTTTCAAGATAGTGAAGTAATGGAACTCTGATGGGTTCTTCGAATTGCACCAAAACTACGTCACTTTACTGTCGAAATCAATTTTTGTGTGGAATGCAGGACTTGTACCCTATTGATCGTAATTATCTCTTTTTCTTGCGCGTACATTATGATAATGAGGTACAATTCTATGTTTCCCCGAAGTAAGACTCCTAGGATAGAACAAATAAAAACAGTTAGGATGGATAAAAAGCCTGGACAATGAGACCTGGAATCCAGAAATGAAAACAGTATGCACATATGCTACTGTGATTGGATACTAACGATCACATTTTGTACCTGCCTACCGGCTTCTCGTGTCTGAGGTCCTAGATGAAAAGCTTACACGGCTCATATTGCCAGTAATTTCTAACCTACATGTAGGATGAGGCGGTCGTCTGTATTGGCTCTAACGATTTCTGATTTCAAACACCAATATATTACTAAATAAAACTCAGGAACCACATGTAGATTCATATGCTCAACCTTGGTTTGTCTATTTTCCCTAGAAGTCCTGCCCGAATGTTTAGAATGTGTCAATCGGAGGAGGGGGGTGAGAGTCTGAAATAAGTTTATGGTTGAAAGCCATCACCGGCCCATCGGTGCATATGCAAAGATGGTGCTCCTGAATCGAAAAGGCCTTATTCCAAAACTTTGCCTCCATTTTTATTAACACATTTTAGGCGAAATTCGCCTGACTATTGTGTTTATACGAAGTTTTTGAGTAGTCTATCAGGATTCTGTTTGTTACTGATTATTTGTAAGTAGCAAGTCGGTTTTGTTTAGTTTCTCTTGGTATCAAAGATTTGTTACTGGTAGGATTTGCTGAAAATTTTGTCATTCCGGTGAACTACCTTGATCAAATCTCACTTATCAACTATAGCTCTGTGGATTCGTGTTACTACCCCACTCGTTATGCCTAAGTGGGTAATGCTAGTTTCAAACATGAGAACCACTGATGCCACTCATGCTACAGGTTTCCTCGTATCGTTTACGTACTGTAGAAAGCAAATCTTATAGTTTGTGTTGTTCACACTGATATGACTCATCCATGTTGGGTCATCGTCTATGGTGACTTATGAGAATCTGTTCTTTAGGTTGAATGCTTGTATAGCATATCTGTGCAAAGTTTGGTCGTGTTTTATGAGATCTGATAAAACAATTTGTAGTTAACAATATTAACACTTATAATTTCATTAATTTATGCGGTGATAATTCAGTGGTTCAGTTACTTGCTTGTCAACTACTGAGTCAAATATCGTTACACTTAACTTGGCTTAGATAACTGGATTTTATCGCTAGCCCTCATATAAGTCTCTTAGCTGAAAATTAAGTACATAAACCCGTACTTCGTGAAAAGAAATTTCATGTTATCAATATTTGTATATTTCATCTTCATTTCCGATAAAATGTATAAGTATTTTCCAAATTCGTCTCAGTCATACTTGAATTCTTGTTCATATGTGGATTTGCTCATAAAGGTTGAGTAAAGTTATATATATATATATATATATATAATTAATGAGGAAATCAGTGTGTTTTGATTGTTTTGGTCTTTATAGTGATAAAAATTCGTTTTTGATTTAAATTTTTAGTATTGATGACATCGAAGACGGTTCTCACTTACGGCGTGGTAAACCAGCTGCTCATTGTATTTTTGGAGTCGCACCGTCTATCAATTCCGCAAACTATGCTTATTTTCTTGCCCTAGAAAAATTATCTCTACTAGAGCGTCCTGAATCGGTAAAAATATTTACAGGTGCTTAATAGTTATATTTTCTAAGAAATGTTTGGTTGGTGTGATTGTATATTGATTAGATATTGATAATGACTTTAGCTACGAAACATAGATTGATGTTATTATTTCTACAGGAGTTTGTGTAAATTTCTGAATTTCATGACTTAAATCTTGGAATTGTCTTAGACGGCCAGGGCCTTCAGGTCTCCGTAGAATAAAATGACGAAATTTAGCAGTCTATAAACCCTCATAGTAATAAGCATGTGCTCACTAGTGACTAAGCGCAGGTGGTAATTCCAGGAGATTTATTGAAAAGTAATTTTTGGAGTTTAACTATGTCGAGTTTAAGACAAATATCACCACTGGCTATGAATGACGATCTCTCAGTATCCCAAGTCCATTATAGTTTGATCACGTTAATAACTGGTTGTGTCGGGCCAGTTGTCTAACGTCTAAGTACTCGTCGTGAGGATTGAATGTCCTGGGTTCGATCTTTTCAATTCAATGACTCCACACTATTAGTAAGTCCAATACCAGAACGAAACCGCTGTCCAGTGCTTTCTGTTTTCCAATGTTTAAGGTCATTAGCAATGTAAACTATAAGATTCGTGTTATTTTGCGATTCTGTTGTGAATCTCTTATCTTACTTATTTGATTCCTTTAATTTTCGAAACTATTTCACTGTAATGGATAACTTGCGACTTAAGTGGTATGTCCTGGGTTTCACCACTGATACCAGTTAGATTTTTCTCTTTGACAATTTCGCTGTTCTGCATAATATTTCTGGTTAACATTGATTTATCGAAAACGTACACTTCAGTATTTTCATAAGCTGAGATTGGTATCTGGACATTTTTCAGTCACTATAAAGCTGGCCGTTCTCGTTTTCATTTAAAGCATGTTTCTGAGCAAATTATTTCTGCATTGAACTAACAGTCTGGTTTTTAACCTATGGAAGAAGGTTTGGTTTATTGATCGTTCGTTCAATATGAAGTTGTTTAAAGTGGTGACTTGAGTTATTCGGTACACTGTCTACTGATATGCTAGAATAATTTTGGACGGTTTATGGTATAATCCATACTCATTAATCTAATGTAAGTTCTCGAGGACAGAGATTTTAATTATATATATCAGGCAGTCAGTCAGCTACAACGTAGGACGAAGACGAAGATGCCCTGTGGCATCTTCGTCTGGTCTTGCTGGCGTTGGTGTCGCACTAAGCGCTAGAGCTGAGGCAGCACTAGTCGATTGGATCCCCATTAACAGTCGGTTATGTGCTGTTAGATTAGAAAGTTCCATCAAAGTGAGAAGAAATCGGCGTGAGAAACGATGTCTTTTCGTCATCTCCGCCTATGCCCCGACAGATTGCAGCCCGGATGCAATCAAGGATGAGTTTTACCACCAGTTATCAGTTCTTCTCCAGAAAGTGCGTTCGACAGATATTGTAGTACTAGCCGGAGACTTGAATGCTCAGGTCGGGCGTCTAGGCACAGAAGAGAGTCGTTTAGGTGGCCGATGGGGACTCGTTGGTCGCAGGTCAGATAACGGGGACCGTCTACTGCAACTTTGCACAGACCACAACCTGTTTCTGGCTAGCACTAACTTTCGGCACAGTCATCGCCGATGTGCCACCTGGCGTCCTCCCTCTGCATCTCAAGCCTGGACTCAGATTGATCACATCGCGATCAGCTACCGCTGGCGTGGTTGTGTAAAAGACTGCCGCTCCTTTTGGGGTACCTATCTGGACTCTGACCATGCCTTGGTCTGCGCCAATCTTGCCTTACTTTTCAGTGGACAACGAAGTGAACGCCATCAACGGATTGATGTTAGCAAGCTGGTTGCAACTTCTGTTGCAAGTAAGTATCGAACCGAGCTAGCCTCTAGGCTAGCTACCACTCCACCGAAAAGTATAGATGAGCATTGGTTGCAATTGCATGACGCCATGAAAATGGCGGGAACAGTCAGTTGTGGGTTTGCGAAACGTCCCGCTTTTAAGCACTGGGTTTCTTCTGGTTCCTTACAACTCATTGAAGCCCGTCGGTCTACTCCGGGTAACCGTGAGTTTGACCATAAACGAAGGATTTTACGTAAGGAAATCGGGCAAAGCTTGCGTAAGGACCGAGAAGCCTGGTGGTCGATGCGTGCTAATGAGCTGGAAGCAGCAGCTGCATCTGGTAACTACCGGAAGCTCTTCCAACTCATCCGAGCCACTGGCAGCAAGAAGTCTGGTGTGAGTGAAACAATCTGCGAGGATGATGGGATGCCAATCACTAACATCCATCGACGTCTTGGACGATAGGCAGAATTTTTCGAAGGGCAGTTCAACTGGCCTGCTGCTCCGGCAACATCGGTCAGACTGTCCTGCCCTCCATGGCCGGTGACGACTGATCCACCAAATGAGGAGGAAGTCCGCAAGGAACTCCAACTCTTGAAGCGTTACAAATCACCTGGCCCAGATGACTTACCTCCGGCTCTTTTTAAAGATGGTGGTGACTTTTTGACTAAGGAATTGACGACGTTGTTTACAAAGGTTTGGGAACTAGAGAGTGTACCAACGTCATGGAATGAGTCGATAGTTGTCCCTATCTTTAAAAAGGGTTCACGTCGTTCTTGTAACAACTATCGGGGGATAAGTTTACTTCCGATTGCGTCCAAGCTATTGGCTTCCGTCATTCTTCGTAGGTTGTTCAAAACCCGAGAAAGATTGACTCGCGAGGAGCAGGCTGGGTTTCGTTCCGGTCGAGGATGTATTCATCATATCTTCACCCTCCGCCAAATGTTAGAACACCGCCATACTTTTCAAAGGCCAACAATCGTAGTGTTTCTTGACATCAGGGCTGCCTTCGATTCGTTGGATAGGACTGTTCTCTGGGATTGTCTATTGAAGAAGGGTGTGCCTGAGAAGTTTATTAACATCCTAAAAGCCCTGTATAAAAACACCCCAGGCAGAGTAAGGGCATACAACCACCTCTCTCCATTGTTCCATTCGAGCAGTGGGGTTAGGCAGGGTTGCCCAATCTCACCATTCCTCTTCAACTTTGCCATCGATGACATTCTGGAAACAGCTCTGATGAATGTAAGTAATGGTGGTGTGGATCTGTTGCCTGGAGAAAGACTTCTCGACCTTGAGTATGCGGACGATATTGTCTTACTGTGCGATAATGCCCAAGGCATGCAATCCGCACTTAATCAGTTGGCATTCAATGTCCGTAGGTATGGTATGTGCTTTACTCCTTCGAAGTGCAAAGTACTTCTACAAGACTGGCAGGATTCTAATCCTGTACTCACCCTGGACGGTGAGCAGATAGACGTAGTTGAGAAGTTCGTGTATCTAGGTAGCTGCATAAGTGCTGGTGGGGGTGTGAGTGATGAGATCAATGCACGAATAGTGAAAGCCAGAGCGGCTTATGCCAATCTGGGCCACCTTTGGTGCCTTCGTGATGTTAGTCTGGCTGTAAAAGGCCGGATCTACAACGCGTCGGTGAGAGCAGTTTTGCTCTATGCTTGTGAAACCTGGTCTCTCCGAGTTGAGGACGTTAGACGACTCTCTGTGTTCGATCATCGCTGTCTCCGTAGGATTGCTGACATTCAGTGGCAACACCATGTCAGTAATGCAGAGGTTCAGCATTGTGTGTTCGGGCACAGAGACGATAATGCAATTGGTGTCACCATCTTGAAACACCGACTTCGGTGGCTTGGACATGTTCTACGAATGTCGTCCCAGAGAATTCCACTTTGTGCATTATTTGCCGACTCTGGGACTGGTTGGAAGAAGCGGAGAGATGGTCAGTGCATGACATGGTGTCGTGGCATGAAAGAAAGCTGCAAAGGACTGGCTTGTGTTGGTCCTTCACGACTCCCTGGCTGGGGTCCGAGAGATGGTGCTACACAGTGGCTAGAGACGTTATCAGATATGCCTCAGAATAGAAGCCAGTGGCGATCCTGCTGTAACCTTCTTTTACTTTCTTCATAAAAAGTGGTTGTGTCTCCTTTACCTGAAAGATTTCTTCTGATTGTACCTCTTCGTCATTACTCTCTTTTTCTTTTGCGTTCCTTAGTTTTTTTTTCTTTTTACTTCTCTTCGAATTCCCATTGTTTTGTGTGGCGCATATATATTGGCGCTCTCTTGTACCAATATTTATGTGTTCAAATAAATAAATAAATAAATACAACGTAGGACCAGACACATACATGCATCGGTCCAAATTGCCACACCTCATTAGCACAGCAAGACGAACACCGGATTCATAGAAGCAGTTAACTCAATGATGTAATATACAAAGGAAAGATTTTGTGTAAGGATATAGTACAGGAAGAAAGAATTAGTTCGTAGAAGGCATAAAGTAATCATAGTTTAAGGGAAGACAAAGAGTGTATATACCCACGGCATTGTGATCGATTCTGAGCCATTTCACTCACAGTCTCCAACCATTGGTTACGATAGTCACGCGGACCCCAACAAAGTATTCTGCATCTACCAACATGGCTAAGACTAGAAGTTAGTGACTTCAAGCACTGATGTCACGTTTTGGTTTGGTCGCCCCTAACTTCCGACCATTCCCAACACTAGTCAGCATTGCGCGTCGTGGTAATCGGTGTTCAGGCACACGTAACACGTGGCCCAACCATCTCAGTCGATGAAGATTCACAACCTCATAAACTGATTTACCACCATTCCCTAATACCCTAAGCCTAACCTCACTATTACGTACCCGATGATCCCAGCAGATGCGAGCAATATTTCTAAGACATCTGTGGTCAAATACCAGTAACTTACGAGTATCTTCTACTCTTAATGGCGATGTTTCGCAGCCGTAAAGTAGAACAGAACGAACTACCGAGCAGTACACACATCCCTTCCATCGGAGACGGGAGCGGCTACTTCAATGTCGTGTCGCTTTTTTCCAAGATAGTTTCGCACTTGACCTTTTAGTTCCAGTTTCTTCCATGAATCTGAAGAGTTGTGTTGTGTTCTCCATAGCCGCCGCCTTTTCTGTCTCTTTGTTTCGATGCCCACCACTGCTCACGGTTGTTCCTTAGACTTTTGCTTAACCTAGATCTGATTTTCTTTCTTTCATCATCGTGTTCAGAGCCTGATGGGACGAGTTTACGAGAATCCACCAGTGCAACAGACCTTGAAAGAATCCAATGGTTCTTTGTAACCCTTTTGTTTAAGTCACTATTAGATATCACCGCTGTTTTCACAGCTGCTTGTAAATCTTTCCAAGCAACATCTGGGTCAGCCTCGTTTTCAGAACTACCTAAGTGTGACGTCAGTTCTTCCTGGGACCTACTTTTGGTTTTCTCGTTACTCAATTCAGTTCTAATGGGTCTTTTTAGTGTAGCTTTTTTGCGTCCAGTGAGGCGCAAGCAGATGCTTACCCGTATTAGCGCATGATCGGAGTCCAAGCAGGTACTCCATAATGAGCGACAATCTTCTACCGACCCTCTCCAACGATGACTGATGGCAATATGGTCTATTTGAGTCCATCGTTGGTTTGGTGCTGGGGGTCGCCATGTTAGACGATGTCTCTCCTTATGCTTAAAATTTGTGTTTGCTAAAAATAAACGATTGTCTGAGCACAGTTGCAGCAGACGATCACTATTATCTGTTCGCTGAGATGCGATACTAAAATACCCACCTAAATGTCTTTCTGCTTGGTTTAAGCTACCCATCTGGGGATAAAAGTCACCTGCTACGAGTACTATGTCTGGGCGTTTAGTCTTCTGAAGCTTTCTGTAAAAGTCATCTTTCACTCCATCCGTGTCGCAGTCAGTGGGAGCGTAGGCAGAAACGACGAAAAGGCAACGTGTTTCCCTATCCTTCCGAGTTCTTACAGATCCGTTTAATCGAACAACACATAGACGACTGTTAACGGGGATCCACTCTCATAATGCTTGTTCTGCCCTCGTGCTTAGTGCTATTTCTGCACCTTCCGGTCCACAAGAACTGGATATCGGGTCGCCAGATACACGGAGAGTGTATCTCGTCCGCTCTTCGTTTTGGCGAGGTGGGGTCAAGTGAAAGACCGCTCTAGGATCCAGTATACGTGTTTCAGAGACAGCATACATCAATGGTACGAGATTCTAGTCTCAGCCTAAGAGGCCTGCTGACCGATTTGACATAGTGTGCGTAATTTGAGGGCTCCAATGTGTAGTTTGGAGCGAGGTTTCAGTAGACCTGGGACAGTGTTTTGCGCACTAGAATCGTTGGCTATGATGATATTTGAGGAGGAAGTCAAAAGAGGAAGTTTAGTGCTGAAGGTCGCCGTAGGAAAAGTAATAGGAACCGAAGGAAGACGTTGATTATGAATAAAGTCTTGAGTGCTGTTAGAGGTATGAGTGCGGTTATCACTTGCCGGTCGCCCACATCGTGCAAGGGTTCTTCTGGAGGTACCTGGAAAGGAAATCGGATTAGAGGTGGTCTTGGTGACCTGAGAGCGTGACCACAGTGCCCAAGAGACAACTGCTTGAGGCCAGTCACACGACTTTTTGTGAGCAGTTTTCGTGTTAGCTCCGTACTTGTTGGGACCTTGCAACCGGAGACAGATATCCGTGGGAAAAGGCGAGGTGTGCATTTTTAGGGTCGACCTTTACTAACCCCACCTCTCCTTGTGGAAAGGCAGCATCGCCGTTATGCTAGTTGTCTGGAGGGGACACCTTACTGCTGTCACACCTCTGTACAGTCAGCAGTACGACTTCGCCTTCAGACGTTGGGTTTGTTGCTTTTAGTCTTATCACTCTTCAGCAGACCTGTTTGGCATGGTAGGATATTAAAAAATGATTGTTCCAGCCAGTATAGCTCGGTTGGTTCATCACGATGGGCAAGCCCGACCACCACGTCAATGTAGCAAAAACGGTCGGGATATGTATAAAAATATATATCTAGGCTATTATTAGACTTTGATGTAGTATATGCGAACTGACTCGTGATGTAAATTCATCGGTCTTATCATTGGGACGGTTATACTTTACCACAATAACAGCTTCCTGTATGCTTTTTTGTTTTGCTATCAGAATTCAGTGTTATCAAGTCTGGTTTGTTGAGTAAAAGTGAAGTTGTTTCATTTGAACTTTTAGAGCAAATGCTTGTATTGCATCGTGGACAAGGTATGGATATATTTTGGCGCTCCTCTTTTAAGTGTCCATCAGAATCAGAATACGAGGCTATGGTATTATGTAGTAAGTTTAATGAATTATGAAGTAATTTATAGTCGTTTCTATTGCCTACATATTTTTCACTTGAGATAGATATTTAGTATATTTTAAGTATTTTATTAAATGAACATTCAGTAAATATTGCAGCAATGAATACAGTGTATAATGAAACATTAGTGTGACGGTAAATATATCCAAGTACTCCTAACATTCACTGCTACTGATTGTAATGCTACATATTTTTAAGTTATTTTATTATTTTTGTCCATTTGTATCATCTCTATAAAGACTGGTATTTTCACTTCAAATTTATCGTAGCTGTGCCAGTGTTCGGAGTAATTTGTCTTTGCTTTTTACTACGTATTAAGTTTGATCTCACCAGAATATGGTTACAAAATACCTCAATACAAAGTAGGTTATCCATATTATAATGATTAACTCTACTCTACAACTACCAACCATTCCCAAACAACCTAAATGAAACATTGAAGTAGCCGCTCCCGACTCCGATGGAAGTCCAAAAAAATATAGTTAATCTGAAACGAGGAAGAGCAGCTGGTCCGGATGGATTGGCTCCAGAGGTGTTTAAGTATGGTGATCCAGTTTTAGCGATTAGGTTGATTAATATTTTAGCCTAACTCTGGGAACTGAATGTAATTCCATCTAACTGGTCGCAGTCACTGGTTGTCCCAATATATAAGAAGCGGTCCAAATCATCCTGTGATAACCATAGGGAGATCAGTTTGACTAATATAGCATCCAAAATACTAGCCTCAATAATTGTCAGACGCTTAACAAAGACTCGTGAACTTCAAACACGAGAAAATCTGATTGGCTTCAAATGTGGTCGTGGCTACATCGACCACGTATTCACTATTCGTCAGGTTTTAGAACTCAGACACGCTTATCGGCGTCCGACAATGATAGTTTTCCTTAATTTAAAAGCAGCACTTGACTCCGTGGACCGAGAGGCTCTGTGGCAGTGTGTCATTGAAAGGCGTACCTCAGAAGTACATAAACCTTGTGAAGGCTCTTTACTCGAGTGAGAGCTTACAGCGAACTGTCATCTGCTTTTGCAACCTCAAGTGGTGTCTGGCAAGGCTGTCCACTTTCGCCATTTTTGTTTAGCTTCGTCATAGACATACTGATGGAAACAATGCCCTCATCGACTGAGTTTTCGGGCATTGATCTCCTACCAAGAGGTCCACTTATCGACTTAGAATGCGCAGATGATATAGTCCTGTTTGGTGAAGACACTGATAAAATGCAGTATCTGTTGGTAGCACTGAGCAACAATGCCAGGATGTTTGGGATGCGCTTCTCCCCCTCTAAATGCAAGTTGTTGTTTCAGGACTGGCCTGCGTCAACACCTGAACTGAGGACAGGGAGTGAAGTAGTCGAACGCGTAGACAACTTTGCTTATCTTGGAAGTCTGATCAGCCCTAATGGATTGGTGTCTGACGAAATCTCTACACGGATTCGAAAAGCTCGATTGACGTTTACCAACTTACGTCACCTATGGCGAAGGCGAGATATCTGTTTATCAATTAAGGGATGAGTGTACTGCTCGGTAGTTCGTTCTGTTGTACTTTACGGCTGCGAAACATCGCCATTAAGAGTAGAAGATACTCGTAAGTTACTGGTATTTGACCACAGATGTCTTAGAAATATTGCTCGCATCTGCTGGGATCATCGGGTACGTAATAGTGAGGTTAGGCTTAGGGTATTAGGGAATGGTGGTAAATCAGTTTATGAGGTTGTGAATCTTCATCGACTGAGATGGTTGGGCCACGTGTTACGTGTGCCTGAACACCGATTACCACGACGCGCAATGCTGACTAGTGTTGGGAATGGTCGGAAGTTAGGGGCGACCAAACCAAAACGTGACATCAGTGCTTGAAGTCACTAACTTCTAGTCTTAGCCATGTTGGTAGATGCAGAATACTTTGTTGGGGTCCGCGTGACTATCGTAACCAATGGTTGGAGACTGTGAGTGAAATGGCTCAGAATCGATCACAATGCCGTGGGTATATACACTCTTTGTCTTCCCTTAAACTATGATTACTTTATGCCTTCTACGAACTAATTCTTTCTTCCTGTACTATATCCTTACACAAAATCTTTCCTTTGTATATTACATCATTGAGTTAACTGCTTCTATGAATCCGGTGTTCGTCTTGCTGTGCTAATGAGGTGTGGCAATTTGGACCGATGCATGTATGTGTCTGGTCCTACGTTGTAGCTGACTGACTGGCTGTTTATTCTATTGCTATCAGTTATCAATCGTTTTGTTATTTATTTTGAAATCATTAATTCATATGTGTTCTAAAGTACACACACAGATGTATGTTCCGCTTAATGTTTATGATTTGTGTCACGATCGGTGTGAATTTAGTATATCTTAAGAGTTTATTCATTGTATTTTTCTCATAGTTGCACTAATTAAAGCAGTTCAGTTGTTATGATACTCGAAAATGTTGGTACATTACATTACTTTCACCTATTAAGGTTATGTAATAAGTTTTAAAAACTATTTCTTTAACATAGCTTTTTATGAGATAGTTTCAATTCTGAGTGAATTCCAGGAGTTAGGAAGTTGAAGATTTGTTGTATATTGTCGTTTTCTAGTTTCTAATCTGTCTATTGAGGTGTTCACAACCAAGTATTCTCTTTGTATTGTGTATTGGTGTACTTGAGCGCTTTGTTTTTTTCATCTTTTTAAATAATACATGTTTAACCTCAACTTTGTTTCCAGAAACTGGTGGTCTGTTCAGTCTAGGTGTTCGTCTCATGCAATTGTTCTCTGAAAATCAAACGTACGTTAAGATAACTGTCCATTTTTCACTCAATTAAATATTTTAAACGGTATACATCAAATTAATTTCTGCCTGTTCATGAAGAAATTAGATATTCCCACTGATTTACTTTGAAATGTTTTAAAATATCTTTGTGTGATATAACAATAATAATAATACTAGTAATAACAATAATAATAATGTAAATTGTCATTTGAGTACGTTTCATCAAATTTCATGTTGAAGCTATTTTATGCTTCCCATATTTAGCAATTCCGTTACAGGTTTGAACACTAGATTGATATCTATATCTTATATTTTGATATTTCAATTAGAGACTTCCATGTAGATATTGTAATCCTCCCAGATGAGAAGACAGTAGAAGATTCTTGTATGAAGTTTATACAAATGCTCACATTTTTACGCCATCATCTTTTGTTATCCGGATTTTCTGGAATTTATTTTCATGTAATTTCAATTCATGTTCTGATTCCGGACTGGTCAAGTGAAGTATTATGTTTGCGGGATATTAAAAAGTAGAATGATAACACTAGTACGCTATTCTTTTGGGAGCATTGATTTTGAGAATTAAAATTAAGCCCTTATAATTAGCAAATTTGTTAGTGTTTCTTCCGTTAATTAAAATCAATGTCAAAATGAAATAAAATTAGTTATATATATTGTTCATCTAACTACACTTGTAAATATTTGTGAGCATAAACATCAATGGAACTTTATTGTCCCTCCGTAACCAAAAAAGACCATATAGATTTGACCAATATTGTTTGAAGTACTCAGGTCCATTCTGTGATACTACTGTAAAGTAAAGGCCCTCAAATGTCCTGGTATGGCCGAGAGTGGGGAAATTACAACGTATGATATGTATACACAACCTCTGACCATCCATTTGTATCTTTCTGTGTGTTCTGCAGTCTAGTTAGTTCTAAGCTGTATTTTCTTCCAGTTTTTAAGCGTTCTACCTACGCCATGCTTTCCGACTTACTGAAACTTCTGTCTGTCGACTGTGACAGCTTCCTCACCACGTTCCGATTCATATTACTTACAGTCTGTCTTGTTGATAGTATGCACCACACTACTGTTGATGCTATTAATGAACATCGCTTTATTCAGAAGTATGTATTTGATTATAATAAAGAATTGTCAACACAAAGTATTCAACAATAAAACGAAATCCTCGTTTTATATTCGCTTCAGGACTGGTCTGCGTCATCACCTGAACTAATGATAGGGAGTGAAGTAGTCGAACGCGTAGACAACTTTGCTTATCTTGGAAGTCTGATCAGCCCTAATGGATTGGTGTCTGACGAAATCTCTACACGGATTCGAAAAGCTCGATTGACGTTTACCAACTTACGTCACCTATGGCGAAGGCGAGATATCTGTTTATCAATTAAGGGATGAGTGTACTGCTCGGTAGTTCGTTCTGTTGTACTTTACGGCTGCGAAACATCGCCATTAAGAGTAGAAGATACTCGTAAGTTACTGGTATTTGACCACAGATGTCTTAGAAATATTGCTCGCATCTGCTGGGATCATCGGGTACGTAATAGTGAGGTTAGGCTTAGGGTATTAGGGAATGGTGGTAAATCAGTTTATGAGGTTGTGAATCTTCATCGACTGAGATGGTTGGGCCACGTGTTACGTGTGCCTGAACACCGATTACCACGACGCGCAATGCTGACTAGTGTTGGGAATGGTCGGAAGTTAGGGGCGACCAAACCAAAACGTGACATCAGTGCTTGAAGTCACTAACTTCTAGTCTTAGCCATGTTGGTAGATGCAGAATACTTTGTTGGGGTCCGCGTGACTATCGTAACCAATGGTTGGAGACTGTGAGTGAAATGGCTCAGAATCGATCACAATGCCGTGGGTATATACACTCTTTGTCTTCCCTTAAACTATGGTTACTTTATGCCTTCTACGAACTAATTCTTTCTTCCTGTACTATATCCTTACACAAAATCTTTCCTTTGTATATTACATCATTGAGTTAACTGCTTCTATGAATCCGGTGTTCGTCTTGCTGTGCTAATGAGGTGTGGCAATTTGGACCGATGCATGTATGTGTCTGGTCCTACGTTGTAGCTGAGTGACTGTTAATATTCAAAAGATGTGCATAAAAATTTCTAAATAGTGATTACCTTTCATTCATATTCATCTGTAAATGTTTACAGTCAATTATTCTCACATAATATTTGTTTTAGTTACCTAATATATTGAATATGTGAACTCTGTGTTACAGATAGGTAAAGAAACAAATATGCCATCCACTGCGGTTACTTCCTGTATTATTCAGTAATTAAAATTAGATTTATAAGGTAGATGGTAAATATTTTATGAAAGTGTGCAAGTACACTTGATTATTGTATATAATTTGTCTTCTAAAACAAAAGTTTTTTCAATAAGTGCCGGGAAATTTGAGCAGTCTGGTTTCTTACTTATATATATTTATATTGAAACATAATGGCTATTCAAATCTTATGCTTTAAGGTAGTTCCTTTTTTAAAAACTTGCGATCTGTAATCTTCTGACTTGTCTATTTACCATAGAGATTATAAACCTCTTTTGGATGCGATTGGTCTGTTTTACCAAATTCGTGACGATTATGCAAACTTAGTTGATTTAAGTGTAAGTTGTGTAAACTTGCCTTTTGTTAAGTAATATATATATAAGAATATTTTCGTATTTTGAATTGCATGGTGCAGGTTTTTCACTAATCACAAGATGTTAGTGTAGTGGGTCTGCATCGTCTTTTTCCTAATATTGATGTGTCAGCAAAACTTTCTACCTATGGCCGAACACCATGAAGGTTGTTGTAGTGAACTATAACAACCCGTTTGTATACTACTTAGTACTTGTTAGAAAAAACATAGTCTATATTCCAACTAGACTTCCACTTCCATATTGTACGTTGCATTTTCATTGTTTTAAATCCTCAAGGTGGAAATAAGAATATCGTTTTAGATATATAGTCTTAATGAGTTTTATTACAAAATGATTCAATTAATTGCAAGGTGACTTATGATTTACACTCTTTAAATTGAAGTGATCTTGTAGGGATTTTCTAAGGTAATTCTCATGAGGCGTGGAATTATGGGGCGTGTGTACTTTGTATGTAGTCTCAAAACGATGACAAAATGAATATCCAGTGCAAAACATTTCATCATCTGGTATAATCAAATTTCGATGTAAACTAAAAAATTGAACCCAGTAAATCTATTGCTTAACGAAGTATAATGTAGTGGCAAAAATAAGACTTGGTTTCTTAATCATCTTACGTTTGTTGTATATCTCAGTTGACATCTGAATTAAAAAAAATTAATTGTCAAACTTCCGAGTCTCATACTGAATAAGTGTTTTTAAAATTATTTGATCGGCGTCATACATCTCATGGTTTACGCAACTACCATTTTATTAAAGGATGGGCGTCAGTACTTTTGATTTACAGTTGCCTGATCATGGAGCTAGTGACCAATGTGATGTTTGTTTACTGATATTGAACCGATCGAATTATGTCGGTCAAGTTGTAATATGTTCATCACCCGACCGTAGCTGCTACCTTGACGCGGTGTTTGGGCTTGCCTATTGTGATGATCCAACCGGGCTATATTGGCTGGAACATATGCTCCTGTAGGTTCTACCATGCCAGGTAGGTCGATTGAAGAACGGTAAGACTAAAATCAACAAACCCAAGGTCTAAAGGCGAAGTCGTACTGCTGACTATAGAGGGGTGTGACAGCAGTAAGGTGTTCCCCTCGGACAACCAGCATGACAGCGATGCTGCTTTATCACAAGGAAGGAAGGAAAGGATTAGGAAATGTCGACCCTAAAAATGTCACACTTCGCGGATTTTTGTCTCCGGTGGTAAGGCCTTTTAAAAAACAGAGCTATCACGTTGAAAACTTCCCACATAAAGGCTGTGCGTGACTGGCCTCAAGCAGTTGTCTCTTAGGCTTTGCGGTCACGCTTCCAGGTCAATAAGACCAACACTAGTCCGATTTCCTTTTCAGGTTCCTCAAGAAATACCCTTCAACTGTATGGGCGGCCGGGAAATGATATCAGCACTCATATCCGTAACAGCACACGAGACCAAGTTGGTCACAGTCAAATCCTCTCCACACCTCCTAAAAACTCTCTTATCTCAACGACTAACCCTTCTCACATCCCTTTATCACCTCGCACCCACACTCTAAATTAAATGTAGGAGCTTTTAACGTCCAAACGCTGTGACAAATAGGACAACAGGCTTCCTTGGTTAGGGCTTCAGAATCTCGCGCCATTCATGTGTGCTGCGCCTCTGAAACGCGCATACAGGATCCGAGTAGCGTCATTCATTTGACCTCAACATATCAAAATAAAGAACCATCTCAATTCACACTTTGTATCTGGAAGCCCTGATACTGCTTCCCGTGGCCTCGCCGACGTACGTATAGCATTGAGTCCTAGGACAGAGCTAGCTCTCTTAGACTGGATCCCAGTAGACAGTCGTTTGTGCGTTGTCCGACTAAACGGGACAGTAAGGACTCGGAAAGATAGTAACACTCGTCGTGACCTCTTCATCGTCTCTGTTAGGAAACGAGTACTAGGTAAGGATGGCAAATCAATTGATGAAATAGTGAAACTTCAGCTGAGATGACTGGGACACATGTTACGTATGCCCAACCACCGAGTGCTCCGACGTGTAATATTCAATGGTGTAGGGGTAGATTGGAAGAAAGCTAGGGGTGACCAGACCAAAACATGGCACAAGTCCGTGAATTCACTGACAAGTGGACTGAGTCATGTTGGTAGGTGTAGACTAGCCGGTTGGGGACCGCGAGATGATAGCGACCGATGGTTAGAGACCCTGAATGACATAGCTCAAAATCGTTTGCGATGGCGCAGGTGCATCCACTCTTTGTGTTCTCTCAAATTCTAATCTTCTGAATTCTTCATGTCCCTTTCTTTTTTCTCTTTCCAAATTTATTTCACTGGATTATACTCCTTGAATAACATCTTTAAACCCTAATTTTTCTGATTACAGCTTATAATTTAACTACATCTACCACTATGGTATTTGAATCGACAACTGCTTCTCTGTGCTAATGTGGTATGGCAACTTGAACTGATGTACGTACATACGAAGTTCTACGTTGTTACTAACTGACTGACTGATGTTCATCAGTTTGAGTGACTCGACATCGCGTGCGGTATGTTGAGCTCTTAAGCGGTTTGAGTTAGTCTACAGCAAACTTTTGACTTAGGTCACGATTATTTGGCGTGCCCGAAGTTCGGAGATTACTGATGCTTCCTTTAGTGTTTGAATCCCCATCACCCAGCTTCACAGCTGAAGACGTTAACACAGCTATTTGAGTCATAACTGACCCTGTAGGACCAATATGTCTTCACAACTAATTGATCATTGGGTGTTAACGAGTGCTAAATAGCACGCAAACTAGGTATGTGATTTCGTGTCTATTTCCTCAAACTATCTACTATACTATTGATTTATTTGTTTCAATACTTTATGAATCAGTTACAACGCATCGTACCCCTACTCAGTGCTTAAATTTTTATCATAGTCAACATTATTATTTTTTAACTACCTATTTCTAGTATCATAGAAAAAAAACATTCGCAGAAGATTTAACTGAAGGAAAATTCAGTTATCCTATTGTTCGTGCCATTAACGATTATCCTGATGACAACCAAGTGATGAATATTCTCTCACAACATACCTCAAATTCATCATTAAAACTTTATTGTGTTAAACATTTGTTAGAGTTGGGTGCATTAGAACAAACTGTATTGAAGTTAGCTAAGTTGGAAGAAAGGTATGTATGTATGTGCAGCCATCCTTAGTCGATGCTTCACATCTAAGTTTTGTTGTTCTGAATTTTTTTTTGATTGGTAATTTTTCACACCATATGTTCCGTAAGTACCACAACGAAAGGTCTCTAACCAATGGTCAATATATTATCAAAACCTATCATCGATAGTCCTTGGTCCTGATGTGTATGTTTAAAAGGGAAGGTAGCATACGCCACTATTACAACAGTAGTCATAAGAAGGCATAAAAGACCAAAATGTTTTCAATCAATATTTTGTGTTAAGTAATCATAAAAAAATCTACTCATCTAACAAAACCACGGTCTAAAACAACTTTCATACTGTCATAAAATTTTAACAACTTAGTTATTTGATTTCCCATTTGAATGTGTGATTGAGCTACAACATGATATTTAGACTCAACTCTTTCATCGTTCAACAAAATAAAATATTTGGTTAAGAAACAAAATGAACTCGCTTCATCATTTCTTTAGCACAGATACTTGGGCTATTGCGTTCGTGTCAAGTTTTACTATAAGTTTATAGAGTATCAGTTTCCCCTTTTATAACAGAATTGGTAACGTTAATTGGCACATTTTACAATATGATGGAAAATCAGTTTTGGGTATGATCCAAACAAACTATTTGATTTATCACTCGATCATTGAGATAAACCAGTTTTATTGATGAGAATTTGATAAGGTCTTCAGAATTTGTGTTTATAGTCACAGATACCATAATATTTCGTTGACTTGTCTAAAACAATATAAATTCAGCAGCTCCAACGTTCTATAGTTCCGGCAATTCATGTTGGTCATATAATATACATTAGGTAATGTGCCGAGTTCACTAGTTAACTGAGTCGAACGTTAATTTCAAAACTAGATACAGTTTTTAGGTGTTCACAGATCCTGTCATCGTAGTTAACAGTGTCCTAAGTTTTATCTAAAACTCTATATGATACTACTTGTGGGCTCTAATGAGATTCAGCAACCCTGTTGAGTATTAATCGAGCTAACAGTTCACTAAAGTTGAACGATTGACATGGGTTGCATAGGGCTAAGCAGAGCTGCGTTCTTTTTCTCGTTATTTGAATCACCAATGCCCAAAACTCCTGATGTTTTCTGCAAAATTGCTTTAAATGCTTTCGACGAGAATACCATTAAGTATTTTGTTTGTACTGCAAAATTCAGTTAATTATAGTCGGCGTTATTATATTGTTGTGGTCTTCAGTCTAGTTCAGTCACGTTGCAGGTTTCCTAACGCTTGTCCGACCAGCCATACAAAGTAAAAACAATAAGAATGGATAGGAAGTTGTATATTGAAAGTGAATAATTATGTGCAAAAATTATGCATATACATGTTGTTACACTGACCCAAACAAGATATGTGAACGGTTACCTTGGATAATTCACTTACCAATAAATCACCCATACTTACATAGCCTACCTTCCATGTGAGGTTGCGACCAAGACACAGTATATTTGGCTTTTCAGCAACCTAAAATCTGCCTGGAATCGTCCTGGCCATCATAAACTCACCCGTATGACATTTTGACAGTTAGAATTTTGTACCAGTTTACTAAATGTAGTTCCTTTATGAAAATTTGCATTTAATGGGTACTGAATTTAGTGTCGTAAGAGCTGTTTATCTTGTTCACATGCATAAAACATCTTAGTGGATGCTTTTTGTTTCGTGTTTAAGTTAGGAAATGAATTTAATGAAAAAATATTTTTACAGTATGTAGCTACATTAGAGTTTGTTTTATCATGATCCTTGTCAATAGAAGCTCTAATGCGAAGTATCCGAATTAAGAGTATAAATCAATATCGTGTTCAAGTTAGAAAACAATAAAAGTCTGTGAGTATCGAAACTGTAAAATCTTAAGAAATTCTGGGGCATACGTCAAGTGCAAAATAACTAAATTCCAAAGAATGATCAATCGACACAACAGTAAAAACAATCGACCACTCAGATTAAATTCATCAACTGTACTGAAAAGGAATCGATAAAAACTGTTGTTTTTGTAAAATAAGGAATACAATCGTTAGGTACATGGTGTCCAGTAATCCTCGTACAAATCGAATACTCTGTTTTCATTTTATTTCATGATATAAGAGGAGCTAAATAGAGTAGGTAACGAAAGTGATCAATTTGCATAGCTTAAAAGAATATCTCATTTCGTTTATCCGTATCCTAGATGACACCTACTGAAATCGCTTATTCTTCATAAATCCACATTCATCTTTTGAATAATCTCTCTTCAATGAATTCTTTTTTCTGTAGATGCAGTCAGTTAATTGTGAAGTATGGCAATAATCCCTTGCTTTCTGAGGTAATCCAAAAACTAACTGACCTACATCGTACACCTGATGGTCATTTACGGTTTATTACACCAAGGGATCTTAACTATGACTCATTCGATCACAATGAGATATCTATTGCTAGCGGTCATATTAATCCTATTCCTAAATGAGAGATACAGTAATAATGATAGTGGATGTGAAGTATATAAAAATTTAACAAATTAACTACACTTTGTTTATTTCCAATTGAGTGCGGGAATGACCGATCTATTTAACAAAATTTATTTGCAACACTTATAATTAAATATGCGCATCAGTAAAATATATTCCACGATATCTTTTGTTATACTACACTGATAGATTTGTTTCGTTTCAGTCTTGTGTTTACATAATTCTTTTGAAACTGTGATGATCATTTCCACCTCTGTATCATTTTCTCTATCTCTCTTTGCTCTGTATTTTATTCTTTACATTTTTATATATTTGATCTCTTTCCTTTAATTTATGTAAACAGTGTTCTTCTGTATGTTTGTTTTGTAAATTTCGAAACAATTTATTTATAATAACGAAACCTTTATTGAAATTTTGCTGTTATCTACTTCTCTAGTCTAATATTCTAATTTTTGTGTTGTAATCTGACCAGTTCTCTGTCATATATCTGCGTAATTCTTTTTTAATACAGTCCGATAGTTTCACATGTATGCTTCAATTAAAAAGCTACTAAATGTCGGTTGTTGTGTTCAAGCCGGTGACAATGTGAAGGAAGTTTCAATCGATTGCATAACATTTGTGTATCATCGCTACGGTTTTGAAGGAAACTTGTTGGAGTTATGATTGATCTATAATATAGCATCACTATCAAACCGTAGTCTTTTTTCGCTTAGTAAATGAAAATAAACCTGATAACTCAGTTACATTAACATTTATTTTACGGTAGAATTTGATGTATCAATCTGGTAATTTGTACATTAATTGTAAGTTTATACAATTGATCGATCCCTGAGTAGTGACCAGTGATTAGATATTATTATAATACTCAGTTTTCCTGTCTACGCCGACTGAGACGTTAGTTTACCTTAGACGAATACTACACTAGGTACCCTCTCAATATCTATTTTACAGGACTTCATCAACTCATATCAAGAACACATTATTTGTCTGACTAGAACGTAAGTATATTTCCACCGGAAACCAATAATGATAAGGATGGGAAAATATATAACTCATCTAATACCTGTCAGAATATTTGCTAGTCTAACCGAGCAAACAACCAATCATTTTTTTCGCCCACACCTCAGATACTGTCGATCAAGTTGCAATCTACCCGCTACTCTGATTCGACATCGTGCTTCATGTCAGCTGGAGGTAGTTGACACCAAGCCCAAAATCTTTCATGATTAATTAGCTTATAATTTTAAGATAGTACGATGCACAACAGATATTTGGTAGTTATTTACTGTTCTTTTTATTATCTGCAGCTTTACAGAAAGTGACTAATGAATGAAACAAATTCAGAGGACGAAGATGGGAGATTGGATACAAATCTATCGGACACTTTCGATGACAAACATGTAATTTTTCGTGCATAATTTCTTAAGCGTTTTGACTTCATTGGGAGTATCTTATGTGATTTTCTATACGTTAAACTTATGAGGTTAAAATGATCTCATGTTATTGAATCCAGTTTAATGCAATATGTATATTTACAAAAGTGAATAGTTATGCACAAGGAAATGTTTACTTATGTTCACTCCAGGACTCAAACCCAGTACATTTTATTCTAAACATAAGGATAACTCAGATCCTTCCTAATAAATACCTATCTTACTGTTAATCGTTAGGATATATCGAAGTGTATAATCAACACTTGCCTACCTACAATCGACACTAGTTTTTTAATTATTCTACGTAAGTTTGAGTCACATTTACTACAGGCTTATGATTATTTAGTCGGATAAACGCAAATCTACACTGGTACACTCTTAGCATTAAAAAAATCTACCATTCAACTAATCAATCAATCTTTATGAAGTGAGCTGTGATGATTTCGGTGAAATTCTTCTCAAGCTTCCATAAGTATGTGAACAGTGATTTAGTGGTTCAGTCCTCAATCCTGGTAGTAATATCTAGTATTGTAGCGCTTTCTATATACATGAAACAATAAAGATTTAGTTAGATTTATGATCGTATTGTGAACTGGCGACAGATCGTTACAAGCTGTTATTTGAACTTATCCGATTTTTGTATATGTATTTGCAACGTTATTGGTTCTATTTTGTGCTAATATCCAACTAATGTTGATCTTTAATTTATGTACACTTTTATAAACAGATGTATGTCTATTTCTCCGTGTCTACACTACTTTATCTGTTCTTATATGTAAACTGATCCATACTTAACTAAACGTCTTTTGGCCAATACTAAACAAAGGCTACTCCGTGTTTATCGTTCATACAGTTTCTCTGGTAAATCATATCCATGAAAGTTACACATCCGCAACACTACTTTTATTCAACCTTTTAATTTCGCATTGTTTTAAAGGGATTGTTTACAAAAATATTTACGAAATTACCAAGCATACATATTTAATCGTTCATTATCTTTTGGAGTCAAAGTGATGAGTCCTTTAGCTACAAAAGTATTACTAATCCTAGTTGAATCATAAAAAAGAACAACCTTTCCTCAGTTGTGCTGATAGTGTCTTTTAGCAGTGATCAGCTATTAGGATTGACGGTTATTTGTCATATTTTTCACATTTTTTGCTTATTTCTCAATTCAGTAGTCGTTTGTATTTTTTATTCTTAGGATAATTTTAGATTATTTAAAGCGTATAAAGAAGGTCAGTTGGATTTGAACATTTTAAGTACACAGGAAGCAATTTCAGCTGCGACCGCCGCAACAGTTGATAATGCTACAATGTCATCAACATTAACATCAAAAAACGGTCAAAAAGATGAGACTTCTTCAAATCAAGGTATGCCGAAATCTTGGTGTGCGCCTCAGTCATCATCTAGTGAAACAAACCAATCAGTATCTCCTAACAAACAGTTTACTTTGGGTTCACTTTTGAAACCTAACTTGATAAGTGATATTGCTAGACCTGTTTGTGAATCTCAGCTGCCATCTCTATCACGCGTTCTTGTCTCATCTGCTAACTTAGCGGAAGAAAACAAGAGGTAATTTCAATTGTAACTAAGTAGATAAACCATAGGACTGAATTCTTTTATTTTCATTTTTGCATTAAATTCTACACTTAAACTCTCTCATAGTAGTTCGGTTTCAGCTTATGTCAAGAGTAGTTTTAGAAATTATGCAACTGACATGTCCGTAACGAAACCAATAACCAGTTTTGTTATAATTTAAACATCCACCACTGATTTAATCTAACATAATACATACAGTCTTTACTTGACTGCCAGTCGATGAGTACTTTGACTTCTATCGGAGTATGATAGCTACCTGTAGTTTGTGCATCTGTCGCATTGAAAACCACTGTTCGGATTGTGTATATTTTATTATTCCTTCTTTGAATCATATGATATTCATGTATATTGATTGTAACGTATTGAAGGCTAAATTGCGTCTTTTTAAATTATAGATTTGCACAGATTAGCTTGATATTATCTATAATCATATAAAATACGCAGTGTTCCATTTACTTTATACATTCATTCATCTGAGTTTGTAGAAATATAAAATCCCTATACAACAATGAGAATACGGAGTTGCTCTATAGAAATTTATAAAAGGGACTTATTACTTTAAGAATTTAAGTCTTAGTAAATTCGCAATTTAATTAGTTTTGGTTATTCGAAGAATTATTCATTAAACAAAAAGACTTTATAGTGCAGAAAATCTTCTTTCCTATGATCATTGTAACTTCTAGAGCATGTTATATTAGCCGAATAAAGTGCACTTGCCAAACACATGTTTAGGAACTATCCTTAATCGGAATCTTAGCTAATCCAAAGCTGAATGCTTGAGCACGGTTAACTGTAGTCACTTATCATCACGGGGATCATCGTTTAGGATTGTCTGCCGACTAAAAGTTTGAATCAGAAATTTGTGAATGATTATAACTATATCAATCTCAATGAAGTGATTTAAATAAATGAATAAACTAAGACTTTCTTTGTAACGATAATAAACTTATAATCAAATAATATAATGATAAAATGAAGTTCAATATCATACAACATATCAACTAAGTGCATGTCGAATAGTCTGTTGATAAATTAAATTATTTTAATGCGAAAAATTCATAATCCAGATAAATGTTTAAGACTGCTTGACATCCTTTGGGCTTGGTGGTCTAATTGTAAAAGTATAGTTGTTGTTCTAGGCAATATTATCAGCGCTTATTTCACATCGAATCTGTGTGCTCAAAAAACACAGTCCAAACAACAATTGTTTACATATTTATATGATAATTAAAAAGTATTTAATAAGGATAATAAAGGACAAATAACAGGGTTATACTTTATATAAAAATAAACTGAATATTATCAGGTTGCTTCTAATATAAGTACAATTAGTTTGAATTCCCCTATAACTAAAGCCTTAGAAAAAATCGAAAATTTTTTTGGTTATTTGTATAGAGCATTTATTGAAGTGCCTGTTCTCAAATTAATCCCATAACGTCTTTTTATTATATCAGAAGGGTTTTGTGAAGATTTTAGAAATTCCACTGGTTGAAATCATGAGTCAATCGAAGCTAGATCACTATGGAAAACCTGCAAGCACTGGATAGCCGTTTCGTCGTCCTAGTATGGGACTCCTCAGCAGTGCACATTCGTTATCTCGCCCTCCACGAGATTGGAACCCAGAACCTATCAGTCTCGGGCGCGTACGGTGGCGCAACTTCGTGGATTGGTTGAAGTTAGACATTAACACCATTGGATGCTGGCTCAGTGGTCTAAAGATTAAGCACTCGCGCACGAGACTAATAGGTCATGGGTTCCAATCTCGCGGGGGCGCGATCGTGGATGCGCATTGCTGAGGAGTTCCATACTAGGACGAAACGGCTGTCTATTGCTTCCAGGTTTTCCATGGTGGTCTAGCTTCAATTGACTCATGATTTCAACCAGTGAAATTTTTATTATATGTTCAGCAATAAAATGAGATAGTTGTATGCCATCAGCTGTCACCATACGGATATCATGTAAATATATGGTATAACATTTTAATTAAGTTGTAATCTAACACTTTCATACACATAAATTTACACTCTTTAATATTATTATTTCATGTCGACACTTGTTTTTCTATTTTTTGGAGTTGTATTCTTTGAGCTGGATGGTTTAATCGTGATGCTTTCAATATCTTTCTAGACAACATCATGAGTACATAGTTAACCTCACTGTCCTGCTCAGAAAACATTATCTCCGAAATTCTCATCCCAAGCTACAAATATTCTGTATCATCTCAGTTTTCTGTTACGGGGAAAATTGATTACTATAATTGCATAAATGATAATGTGTAACGATATTTTCTCCTTTCATTCACTATTCACTCCATTCCATTTTCTTCGATTTACGTTAGTATTTCTGTAATTTGTTACTGATTAATGTAAATGTGATTAATGATGAATAATTCATACAGTTCCATAATTATTACATTCACACATTTGTAGAATACAAACAGGACCAATTTTAACTTCTGGAAATGCTATCCTTGTGAATCAGCGTCAGGTGATTTTAAAACTATGATGTTATTTTCATTATGTTATGGGTTGTTTCATTATCCATCTAAGTTGACTGCTGTTTTCCTCTCTCGTATTCTTCATTAACTTTCAGTACGGATTCTTATTTATTTTGAGACGTTATAGATATATTATTTTTATTACTAACAATCTAGTTAATACTCAGCTTATTTGAGATTATCAAGTGAAATGTCGATAATAATACGTATAAACTCAAGCACAATGAATAGTTCGGGCCAAACTGGAAGCCAAATATAATTCGCTTATGTTTGTATCTTAAAATTGACAGATATATCTTTGATGCGATTACACAATTAATGTAACATGGTATGTAAGCTAAATTCCCGACCGTTGTTGCTACCTTGACGTGGTGGTCGGGCTTGCTTATCGTGACGAAACAACCGAGCTATAATGGCTGGAACAACTGTTCCTCAAGGTCCTACCATGTCAGACAGGTCGGTTGAAGAGCGGTAAGACTAAAAGCAACAAACCCAAGGTCTGAAGGCGAAGTCGTACTGCTGATTGTACAGAGGTGTGACAGCAGTAAGGTGTTCCCTCCAGACAACCAGCATGACAGCGATGCTGCCTTTCCACAAGGAGAGGTAGGGTTAGTAAAGGTCGACCCTAAAAATGCACACCGCATTATCCCACGGATATCCGTCTCCGGGTGCAAGGTCTCAACAAGTACGGAGGTAACACAAAAATTACCCATAGAAAGGTCGTGTGTAACCGACCTCAAGCAGTTGTTCCTTGGACACTGCGGTCACGCTCTCAGGTCACTAGGACCACCTCTAATCCAATTTCCTTTTCAGGTACCTCCAGAAGAACCCTTCCACAATGTGGGCGACTGGGAAGTGATAACCGCCCTCATACCTCTAACAGCACTTAAGACCACTGTGATGTAAGCTAAATTAAAAGAAACAGCTGCTTATGATGCAGATTGTATCTCAGTCAATCAGTCAGTGGTATCCGAAATAATAATTATTCGTTGATGAGACTTGATGTTATTCAGGGCACAATCAAAAAGTATTTGTGATATTGTTATAACCTCTTTTTCTTCTTACGGTTAATGACCCAGCTATTCCTATTGCTTAGTATTCTCGGACACCGATTCACTCGACAAGTCCCCAAATCAGAACACGGTTGAACAGGAAAAAGATTATATTCCAAATAGCAAGTCAGAAGCACAATAGGGGAAAACGTCGGTATATTTATAGTTTTTACATAAGAAGATTCCAAAGTATTCTCCGACTATCGACTAGTGCTGATTGGATAAGAATCAGCCAATCAGCGTGCACCAAAACAATCATGCATTGAGCCTGCTTTAATCTAGTCTATGTCCCGCTAACAGATATCTTTCAAGATCCTCTGTACATTACGGCCTAAATGATGTAGAAAAATTATCCAGGTAATCGTTTGTAAACGTTATTTAATCCACCCTATAATTGGTATCCACATTAATAATGTTTAGGTAGTGTAGTCACGACTAAAAGTATATGCCTTGCAAAAGCTCTGAATGTAAAATGAACTGAATTCATGTGAACAAGCTTTAGTATCTCACCCATATTGATTTTTTGTACCGGTGAATCTACTGTTCAACTTAATGAGCTTAGCAATCATATATATATATTCTATTGTGTTTGAGTTTTATTTAAATAATTAATTCGTATCACCTTCATTCTGATTGGGCAAAAGGCTACTCAAGGTCATTAGAAAAGTTTAATTTTACGATTTTTTGTCTTATTCATCAGAAATTCCTATTATTTTGACCTTTTATTATTGTGAATTGTTTATCTAGAGAGGTAATCCTGTTTTGAAACAGATACGTAATGTTGCCTGGGAGTATGCAGATGTTGATCCGGATTTTGTTGTAGGAAGAAATAATTGTATATATTTTCTAAGGTTAGTTGCCTTATGTTTGTTTTATCAACTCAGAGAGATATTTCGATGTTTATATTAAAGTTGACCAGAAAATTGAGATTTGATAGAACTATTTGTTTAGAGCTAGTCAACTATAAAACGATTTATATGGTTTGGAAATGGCGTCTTTATGCGTATAACTCAGCGATTATCGTTGCAGAATAAAAAAACAGTGAATGCTGTTTACGAGCTCTGTAACTAAAACCAGATAAATCCCGAGAACATAAAGTCATAGCCAAAGGACTTATGACTCCTACTTCATGTCAATGATATTTATGTGACTCGTTATCACCATTGAGATATTCGTAACAATGCTGTTTTCAGAGTTATGGATGTTTACTTGACTGCGTACATGGGTAATTCTCATGCATGTTCTTATCGCTCCAATTGTCAAATTTTAAGTGACTGATAAATACACTGAAAATATACATGTTAGACAAGGACAGCCACTATCATAAATATTATCAAATTGAGTGTGTTGAAAACGGCCATTATCGCTTTAGATTATTCCAAAGCTTTATAAGATCCGTTAATCCTGATAACATATAGAAAAATTACACGTAAAAAAACAAGAACGGATTCACTTTGAACAGAAGAGTGTTTCATTTTGATGAATAATGACGAAAAATATAATCCAGTAAATTATGCATGTCATAACGCAAATATAGTAATAAATTTAGTGAGCTGTATTATTGGTGTATAAATTAGTCAGCGTAGTTGAAATAATAAAACTTATGTAGTTGGATTCGTAGTATGCTGCGTTGAGTTTGGAAAAACAAATATAAACGCTCTAGTTTATAAAATGGCCTGTGTTGACTACATTGTTTTCTTTCATCAGTGCTCAACAATTTGTAGTAGCCCATCTGGCTCCATAATTTGGTGTTTTAGATTAAATCTATTCCAGATTAATTTTGTACATTATCGACTAGACTCGTTGTTTGATTAGGTTTGCTTCAACAGTGCGGTGTATTTCACACTTACTTATCTAAGACAAGTCGTAAGGGCCTATGAATGGTAAAAGTAGGAAATTGGCCCCTCAGTCATATCGGAGCGTAAACTTCTAAATAAGTTTATATAGGTTGAAATAGTTACTAAGATTTATCATGCCTCAAATTCAAGGTTAATATTGCCGGTCAAACCGTTTAATTGATCAAATTAAACTAAATGCTATTGACAGCCTCTAAACAAAAAGAATCAACGAATTAGAATAACGACAGCAACCATTAAATTTATGCGCGATTTTACAAATGAAATTACGTACAGCTTCGTTGTGAATACCATTTTATTGACGATATTTCGCGTCTAGGCAAGTTTAAATCTAATCTAATGGTAAATCACTGTTGAGAAAACGCATTTCACGTAGCTGTATTCAAAAAATGACATTCAGAGAAGACGTGAAGTCCAGAGATGAGATCGTACTAAGAATACAAAAAAGGAAAAACAAAGACGAAACCCTTCAAAAACAGTCAGTGTGAATATAAACAGTGCACTAAATTGTCGGGTTTTCACCAGCCCATGAAAATTAGTCCGGAATTTCCCCATTGCAGGGTGAATGTATCAAAATTAACGCCAAATTGTGTACTTTCCCCCGAAATTAATGCCAGGTTGTCTAACTTTACATTACATTTAGACCAAGTAGTTCGTCTGTTCTAAGATGCGTCTATGGATCAATTGCACGTCAAATAGTAGACTTTTCTCATAATTTATATATTTTCCGATGATATTAAAAGGTTAGTGTACTATCACCTACATACCTCAGAATTTCGGCTTTAATTACCTAGGGCAACCAAATTTTCTATACAGTCAAAATGATTCAAAAAAATGATTTATGTGAGAACAATTTATCAACACGTTCTGATAAACTTCGTCTTCTCATTGCATTAACCTAACATGTTTACATTAACGATTGCCGATAATATCTAGATACACGTAGCAATTAAACATTAACGTTTTAACTGACAGGGATGATTATCTTCAAATCTAATCTAGAAAAAAGTAAAATGTACTTAACGTGAAGTTTATTAATCATACATAATTACTAAGAATGCCTCTTCGTTCAAACAAAATACCAACTCCTTTGTCTAGTTTTAAAATCCGTCCAAACAAAAATTAGATTCGCTTAAGACTTTGCTATATTAATCCCATGTTAAATCGAATAACGAATTTCCGATGAATTAAATTATGAGTCACATTAATTTCTGTTTCTCGTAAATATTGTTTGATAATTGCAACTAGTATTTGTGTTTGCTCTACGACATTATTGGTACTGCCATGTAGTCAGTCAGTAACAACGTAGAACTTCATACGTACGTACATCAGTTCAAGTTGCCATACCACATTAGCACAGAGATGCAGTTGTCGATTCAAATACCATAGTGGTAGATGTAGTTAAATTATAAGCTGTAATCAGAAAAATTAGGGTTTAAAGATGTTATTCAAGGAGTATAATCCAGTGAAATAAATTTGGAAAGAGAAAAAAGAAAGGGACATGAAGAATTCAGAAGATTAGAATTTGAGAGAACACAAAGAGTGGATGCACCTGCGCCATCGCAAACGATTTTGAGCTATGTCATTCAGGGTCTCTAACCATCGGTCGCTATCATCTCGCGGTCCCCAACCGGCTAGTCTGCACCTACCAACATGACTCAGTCCACTTGTCAGTGAATTCACGGACTTGTGCCATGTTTTGGTCTGGTCACCCCTAGCTTTCTTCCAATCTACCCCTACACCATTGAATATTACACGTCGGAGCACTCGGTGGTTGGGCATACGTAACATGTGTCCCAGCCATCTCAACTGCTATGTTGTACCCATCAGTTTTCAAAGATATTTCATTGTATAAGTAATTTTTTCCAGCTTTATAGCTGTTTCACAGTTAGTGAGGTTGAATGAATCTCTCTCCAACTACACAAGCCACTTAAAGCGTAACTACCTAACGGGAACACGAATTTAGATATGTTGTTTTCGCAGTTATACTTCCATTCCTTTGCATACTCTTTTAATGTATATTTAACTTGGAATTAACATATGGGTTCACAATAGCGACTGAAACATACATTAACGTTTCTTTTTAAACGAATGATATGATACATACCGAGTATGATTTATCAGTGCCGTTTTTATAATATCACTTGAATATTATTCTACAAACAATAACTTTGTGCTATGTAGGGAATTACCAATCACTTGAGTACTACTTTTCTATAGAAACTCACTAAAACATGCTTGTACTCAGTTATTCTATATTCATTAATTTTTTCGTCGGCTTCACAAACATTCTGCATTCGTCTTTAAGGGGTTGATTAAACTGCCATTCATATACGTATATTATAGACGTCATGTCAAATTTGATTGTTCCCATTATTTTTTTGTTCATACATACGCAGTGCTTACAATTTTTGTTTACCTAAATATGGTATTTTAGTGTTATATCCATTTTATTTTTTATTCATTTCTTTTCTGCGTATCATATTGCGCGTATAAATAGTATAAATTGTGCACATCCCCTTTTTCTGCTTTAAATTGTTATTGTTTCAGATTCTGTTGGAGCACAGACATTCACTTTATTTTATTGACGCCTATTCTGCACGTTAAGATAATACTTTTTGAATGAAAGTTTGGGGTCTGTCTCGACATTTTAATTTTTGACTTACGGTCTTTTGATAAACTTTATTGGATAAAAGTTTTCGACTAAGATTCTTTAAACAATTTCCACCTAATTATCGGGTGCATCTTCGAAATATAGTCTGGTTACTCTCAAGAACAGTGTTATTACAAGACTTCTTTTAAGCTGTTAAAATGCACATATTACCCTGTTTAGGGAAGGCTTATAGTAAGTAGAATATGCAACCGGATAAACTTCATTTCTCGTGATCACTAAATGCAAGAAATTCATTTCATTTTGTAGTTTATGATCACTTATGAATTTTAAAATTAGGTCATTAGAAATTGAGGCATCTAAATCCTTGATCAGGATAACTTGTTATCGTGTATCAAAATGGAAAATCCCAGCTTTTAGTTCTAAATATATTCCTATACTATGGAATTATCTCTACTAAATATTATTACATTTGAAAGATAAACTATTGTCTTAACGATGTGATGGAATAAACGCATCTAGTAACTTTGTTTCTGTTTCAATTTTGTTTAGCTTACGTTATCATAATTTAAATCCTGAATATATATTTGAACGTTTACGTCAAACAAAACAACATTATCAATTATCTGTACTTCTTGTTCAAGTGGATGTAGTAAGTTTATTAAGTTTACTACAATTAAAGAAAACAGTTTTTTTTTCAAGGTATGTGGGAAATAAAGTTATATCTGCGACTAAATTGAAGTTTTTAATTAACAGGTTTATTAATTATTTAGTATAATGTTTCCTTCATTGAAATTGCTAAAATCACAAACTGTTATCATTTACTTACTAGGTAGTTAATCCAGAGTTTCGGACATAGGTTTTATTTTTGTTGACAATTATTATCAAGAGATATCCATGACCTTGTATGTAATTATGATCAATTTAATTGTAATGAGTCCGAAACCGAGATATTCGACCGCGAAATCGACTACGAATCCTAATTTCTTGGTCTTGATGATATGAGTAATATACGATGTGATATTTAGGCCTTCTGTGTTTATCATATTGTCTCTGTTAATGGATCATGATTCTTTCAAGTCTTTTTTACTATTCACAAGTATGCTATTCATTTAATAATTGTTACTCTTATGATAGAGATCATCAATCATAAGATGCTTTTACCGTAATTTTAAGTCCTTCTTTAAGGGTTCGTTTATTTAAGGAGCTTTAACATTCAGCTACTGGGTTTCAGGCTTGAATCCCTATCTACTTCAGTTCGGAGTGTTGAGTGTCACTGGTATCCTTCACACAAAAATTTGACTCAAAGCTAAGTTCAGAAACCTATGTAAGACTAATTGCATTCTGTACTTGTAACATTTATTTATCGTCGTATTCAGAGGATTCTATTATTGTCTGTCATTTACCGTAAATTAGTATTAAAAAAGATACCTCACATGAATCCAGTCAGTAAGCTACTAGATGTGAATAGTTGCTACAGAACAAAACCTAACGAAGCCAAAACGAGTGTCTTGGTAGATTCCAAAAGTTTAAACCTTTGTTTCTTAATCTGATTGATTAAACATAAATTACTGCTAATTTGGCCACTCATTCCAGAATGAATAGGTCATAGTCAACGTAGAGCCTTACTTATGTGTGTTAGCCGAATTCTCTAACATTAACTCAAGATGAAATTAAGATGAGTTGTAAACGAAGTAAAATAATATATTACCAATGATAATGAGGAATACACACTGAGAATATAGTTTTTAAAGGTATGGTAATAAACTTTAGAGATCCTGGCAACTTAAAAAACCATTGATCTCGGAAAAATGCTGGAAGTGTCAGTTGTTTGTTTTGTAACTTTTTCAAAAGTCGTAGGTTAGAGAAAGTTTGAAAGCTAACTAGTAAGCCCATTTTACAAGAAATAAATTTTTCTCACGTATTTTATGTAAATGCATATTGTAATCAGGTTAGCTTCGTTCTTCACATCAGTTTGTATCAGATAAACGATTGATTATTTGATAATAAAATTATCTTATAAGCTTCATTTAAAATCAAATATTTTCATTACTCAATGTTGTTTGAGTCAATCAACCTAAATTCGGATAATTTTTACAGTCTGTCTCGTTAGTTTGAATGCTCTAGTTTTTATCAAATCCATCAAAACCAAATAAAACATATTCACTTCATTTCAGCCAGATCCATACTATCCTTTAAAAGAGTTGTGTAAAATTTGTTGGACTGAAAGATTAACCTTGATGTTGGCTTGGAAGTAAGTGTATGCGTTTTCATCTTTGTAATTTATTAATGAAATCAATGTCGAAATGATTTCGTATGATAAACTTTGCCTGGAAGTAGTCGACGAAAAATCCTGAATATAGGTTTCGTGCTCGTCAGCGAATCATTTTTTCTGGTTGGCCCGGGACAGAGTGCGTTGGAGAATTCTGGTCGGCGGCCTATGCTCCATTGGGAGCAACAGGCGTAAGTAAGTAAGCTCGTCAGCGAAACGTACCTTCAATCTTAAGGAAACTTGCTCCCCACGTGTTTCGTACTCGCATCACCCATCTTCACGGCCTGAAACGTTACTACTGAATTTTTTGAGCCTCTGCTGACCAGTGAGAATGAGATGTTTTTAATAGATTGATCACTAAATGGTAAACCACTATTATGATTATTTAACTACAAGTGCTGATCAAATTCCATCGATCGAATCGCAGCGTTGCCACTAGTCTAGATGATTTGACATTGGTCAATACCCAGTGATCAACCATTTATAAATAATGAATTTTATTCTTCTGTCAAAACATTTTGATTACATAGACATTCAAAATTGATACATTCTGTTTCGTTGTGGCTAATAAAAGGAATTATTTTGACTGATATATTTCTGGTTACACCCAAAAGTGTAAAATAGGAATAGCTTGTTTTCTATGTGAGAGGGATATATGTTACAGAGGCTTTATAACTGATACCGTAACGTATATGCTGATATATAGTGATAATATTTAAAGAGCTTTTATACTCCAGTTTTTATGCTTTATTTGTAAATGGTCTCAACAATCATTCAGCATTGGGCTGACTAAAAGAATAGCAAGTGGATGACACCTCTTTATAAATAGGTTACTAATTGTTCAAGAGCTGTGATAGACTGTCTATTTGGATCTGCAACGGTAAGTTACGGTGCTACGCTCCTTTGCAATTGATTAATATGCAAACACTTATCCTTTTCAACTGCCAAGTCATATATTACCTGACTCTTGCTCCCAGTCACAAGTTCCTCTGTCCATGCGCCGTACCTCAGTTTGTAATCTCGAACCAATGTTGGGGTCCTCAGTGTTACCCACAGTCCTTTTGGTAACATCAGTTGTTGGTTTGTTTTCAATATGCAGTCCATAAGGACTTGCTTTCGCAATTTCCGATTTGGTAATGCGTCATGGGTTTTTGTTCTGTACACATTTGGAAAATACACAGTACCTCCCCCACCCAACTTTACCTGGGCCTTTTCGAATGTTTTAACAGATCTCTCTACTTTTCTGTTTGGTTGAGAGCTAATGTGGTGGTGAAGAGATGTAGATAATAGATTTTCAACTGAAGAACTCTCAAAAATGTTTGGAAGTAAACTGCGACCTCTTATCTGACAGCCCATTCTGAGAAAAGTCCCGGTCAGCGGAAGACTTTGTTAGTTCTTAGTGCTACCACGAGGAGAATTCCCAGTCATTTTGAGAACACATAAGCGAAAATCAGGCGAGTGATGTCATTGATTAGCCCGGCTCAACGTGCGTGCTCTGGATGATGGGTCTTCATGTTGTGGCCATAGGGCTGGTGGTACTCGACCGTCCAGTTTTACTGCTTGCCGAAAATTAGAGGCCATCCACGAATTTGCACAATCTGTTAGTTTTTAAACAGTCAGCAAGCCAAACTTTGAACAACGGACTCCATACGCTTAATGCCCGGGTGACTGCGGTAAAATTGATGTAGAATCTGAGAGAGAAGACGTCTATGAACCACCATGTGGTCCAATTGTATGTCGCAGAAAGATCTACACTCTTTAATCTGGTTCCGAGAAACGTGCTTACTTAGAAAAAGTGGGGACCGAGGACGGTGTATTTATGGTAAAAATAGGCTTAATAATCAATAATTCTCAACAATGAAGCAGATAAAATCGTTAAAACTGACATTTTATGTGTGGCTTGAATGCTGTCTGGATCTAACTAGCAGCATACATAGGCTACAAGTACTAAACTGGCTCCATCTGTTAGTGTCAGTTCCTCCAAAACGATTTGGCCTGAGTTCCCTATATGGTCAAACCGACGGTGTATAGTTCAGTTCTGAGTAATCGGGAGAGTAAAATTGGAGGTGCTGGGGATATTGAGTCCTTAAAGAAAACTTAATAGGAAGGAATTAAGTGAAAGTTTATGAATTGATTTAAATGCGATTCCCAGTATAATATTTATTTGTAATAGTTCTCTGCGAAAATTGTTCAGTTTTGCAATCTTTTAACTGTGTATAATGGAATGAATTAGAATATTAGTTTATCTTGATGGAACTTTTAGACATGCTTCGACTTCTGTCCCTAGTTAGTGGCCGTAGGAAAATTGGATAGGAAGCAGTATCATCCACTATCACTGAAGTTAGAAATTATTCGCGTTATGCACAGGAAAATCAAAATTGTTAATCGTCTTTTTTAATTTCAAAATATACCGTTTTTACGCACTTACAGTATGGAAGAAGCAGCAAGATATTTAGAAGCTTATAAAGCCTTGGAAAACAAACCTCCAGATAACTTAATGGTAGAGCCAGCCGCACAAACAGATCATATCGCACAAGTTACAGATTTCTTAACTTCGGTTCGACGTATCACAAAAGCTGATGCTGTTTCAGCGTTGAGAAAATTCGATGTAAGTGTGAATATCTTCTTAGTTTGTATTGTGTGTGTTGAGACTATAATTTGTGGACAACCTTCGAGCGACGCTGAAGCGACCTTGAGAATGTCCACATTACTGGGTTATGAACAAGTTTGAGGAATTAAAATTATGATTCACAGCCGATGGTTAGGGTAAGGAATTAGATTTAGGGTTTATAGTGCGAACTGGCATCAACTAAAATGTTAAAACGCTATTCAGCCGGTGGATGAATGAATTTCGCACCAAAATCCAAGACCTGTTATCCTAAATCTGATTGGTTCGTCCATAAAGTCTCACCTTGTTTGCTTGGTTTTTAATTGCTTGTGTAGTTGGCAAATTGTTAGCAGGAGGTGACATAAAATAGATATTACTGACTAATAGTTGATAAACAACTAAGCTGAGTAGCATATTGCTAGTGAAGTATTCAGTCAACTGTTTTCGCACTATACAACTCTAAAGGTTTACAATCAAAAATAACTTGAAAGAACGTCAATCCCATCAACATGTTCTTGAAAGAATTAAACGGAGCAGAACAACGTACCATAACGTCTCTAATTATGGCAATAAGTGTTACGAATCTTTGAGTGTAATACACCTGGGTGATTTAGACCTACGATTTCCTGTTCATCATTTTTAACGATCTATAACAGATTTAGTTAAATTAAAATAGCTTAGATCCTGGTAATCCTAATAGTTATTTAAAAATACTCTAACAAGCATCGAAGCATGTTAGTATTCAATTCATTTCAATTTAGGATGATGCGATAAAATATTTATTTCACTCATTATTATGCACAATGATACAATCCAGATTGTACGAAATAACAACTCAGAACATTTTCAACTTAATAATTGACTAGTATACATTTAATCAAGGCAGATGAATTAAAACGAACATTTGGAGGTTTATAAAAACTGATTTGCTTTCGTATTCTGTTGATAAATGAATAATAAAATTAATAATAGTAGGTAAATACGTAAGTCATAAGTTGTTTTTTAAATGAAAAATTTTAATTGTACATGTTGTGACTTTAAGGCCGGCTAGTTATCACGTGATTTATTCACCGATCGAAATACGACTTATTAACTCTTGTACTGTACTAAACCAATGACGTTCGACTGGTATGAGCAGCCTAGCGTCCTTATTGATCCTTTGCTTCCCTAGCCCGTCCAGTTGAGTCCAGAACACCAATAACAGCTCTCGCCATGCGAATCATTTATTTCAAACATGCTTGGTTTATATACCAGCCAAACAGACCGCATCGTACCATAAATTAGGAAATAACCTCTATACAAGATCAAGCCAAAAAGTGGATGTGAACGTGGGAGACGATAACCAATAAACTGAACATAATTTAAGAACAGTAAATCGTACAGTAATAATCTATAGGTCAAAATGAAGCTTATAATAAGAGGAATATAGATATACCTAATTTAGTTACTTAACGGTTGTACATTAAGAATATATATATATATATATATATATATATAAGTCCATTAATAGATCTCAGAGCTTTCCCGTAATTTGATCTTCACTAGGATATAACAGTACAAGAATGAGATAGTTTTTCTTATTCAATGTAAACTTTCAGACTGTAGCCGACATAATACGAGCTGATCAATCAACTTTGGAGAAGTGCCCTGGTTTCGGTCAGCTTAAAGTATGTTGAAATTTTCAAATAACTTTATGTTGAATAGATTTATAAAAGCTTTAAGGGGAGTTCATATTACGTAACTATAGGTCTTATTCATAAGCTGAAGGCCGAGTGAACATTTCGCTCTTCAGATAATTCTGTAGTTGTAATACACTTATTGAACAAACCGTCAATCGTATGTTTCTACTTAGGTAAATAAGCACTGTGTACATCTTCAGTTCATTTAGTTTCCGATTAGTTTGTGTTATAAAATTTCACTAAAAGATGATGGTAGTTACCATCGTTAGCTGTGGTTATTCTGTATTCTATGCAGTTGAAGATTACTGAACATACTTTTGGAATTTCAACAATTGTGCATTTTCAGTTTGTTTGTGTGTTCAAGAATGCTTCATAGTTTCTTCAGTTGTTGATTCTCTTAGCGATGTTTTCGGAGTTTGCTTGTTGGTTATGATTTGTTGTAATAAGCTCTTTGTATTTCACGTTCGTGGTCCTTCTTAACTACATAATCCATTGTGAATGCTATATTGCGAATAAACCTAAGTGTTATTCGTGAAAAAGTTGTACAGTAATAACAGAGATCATGGTAATACCCAGTATTCACATATGTACTCGAAATGAACTGTGTGTAACAGATATTATTATCTCAAAATTATTTCTAACGTCGTTATACGTAATAACAACAAGCTTTCCTTTTTCATTTGCAGGCCCGTAAACTCACTGAAGTTTTCAGAATGCCATTTATAAAGAAAAATGATATGAAATAGAGCAAAAAACATTCTGTACATATTTTGCATAAATAAAAGTTTCTATTCTAATCGATAACTATGATTCAATAATAAACAACACAGTCTTTATAGTGTTCTTTGCGTTGATATATAAAACGGTTGGTTAACAAATTATACCACCATTTTAACTATAAACGTTTCGGCGTGACTATAATTTATGGACGAACCAATGACATCAAGAATAGAAAGTCTTGGATTTTGGCATCATAGCTGATGTCGGTTCCAGATGGAAACCCTTGATCTAATTCTGAACCCTAAATCCTAATCTCGATTCCTCATAGTAATTTATTGCTCTCTCCCTACCCTAGTGTAGTGTGTAGGTGAGTCGTCTCAGGATCACTAGTATCGCCAGAGGTCGTCCATAAATTATAATCTCCGCAAAGTTTCTTGTACCAAATCTCATTTCTTGTGTTATTAGTATATGCCAAAAGTTGCTATCTGCTTGTTAATATATAATTTTCATTTAAAAGTTAAAAAAATGAAGTTCAGCGAAGAGATATCTTTCTCACGAATTTATTATCAAGATGTACAACCGTATACATAAATGTAACTTTTTGTTGAAGTACCAGTTCTGTGAGAAAATGTGAACAAGAAATAACCAAGATGGTCTAATAGAAAGATTATGTGTACAAACAGAAAATCTTGTAAAATTAATAAGTTAGGAACGGATTATAGTGTGCATGAAGATAATAAAATGTTTTTGTTACAATAATTAAAGTGAAAAATTGAATGAAATGATATCAGAAACAATTAATTAATAAGAGGACACAGACGATAGAAGCTGAAAACCAGATTCAAAGAACATATTAGAGGTAGTTGAAAAATTTCGTTTTTCTAACTACTCATCAGTACGAATGAAACCTGAGGCCCTATGATGATGTGCCTGAATATGCTGTGGTACGGTCGAGGGTCAGGGAAGTCCCCATGGTCTTTTCGTGGCGGGAGTGTTATTTACGAAATTGAGGACGAAAAGCGGGTGTTCAGCACTTAAAGTGGATTGGTGGATACGGATGATTCACCTAGGAAAGTTGGGAAACCTTGATTCAAAATGGGCTTCAGGATCCTGAGGGAACAAAAGGCGTATGATACCATTCCTGGTCACCAGGTATCATGGAACTTCATCTGACGTCGCCCCACCACTCGGGAAGTGGGTCCTTAAGAAAACCACCTACTTTGGTTTTAGGACCCAGACAATATCCCGGCCCATAAAAGTTTAATGATAAACACTGTGGCGCATATATATTTTGGTGCCCTTTTATACCAACTCCGCCTGTAGCTCATCTAGGGTTACTGTCCCAAGCCCGAGTAAAGAAAGAGGTTTGGGCATGGAGTCACCAACCACATGCCGTAGAGAATAATCTTTCTAAAAAACGCTAACTAGGATAAACTATTTAAACGCTGTCTTGGTAGTTTAGGGTCTTTATTCAGAAGAATTATACCTCATGGAGAAAGCTGAGATTCTTCGAAAATCACGAGGTCGATGCTCCTTCTAACAATCAGAGCAACAGTAAATATCGGTACGTGGAATGTCTGGATAATGTGGGAAATAGCAATAGACAACAGACGAACAAGAGCAGAAGTCAAGGGACAGGCTGAATACCCAGAAACAAACAAGCAAATGAAGAAGAGCTGACAAGCAGAAACATGTGGAAGACCTAACAACGACAGCGGAAAAAGCTGAAAGTGAAGGGAATACGAGACAACTAAATGAATATGCCCATTATGACATTAAATAAGAAAGAAAGATTAGTTCAGCGAAGAGTTCTCTTTTTGGCGAATTCATTTTCAAAGCTTTACAATCGCAAATATATACACTTATTTTTACAGGGTGATAATAATACTGATAATAAACTTCTGTTATACATGGTGACAGTGAGGTTTAATAAACAAAGGTATTAAAAAATTTTAAACAAGGGAAGTTTACTAATCGTTTGATAGTTAATGGCTCAGCATGATAAAATAAAATGTTGAAACAGAGATGAAATGTGATCGGAATGATCGTGGAAATAAAAACGAACCGGTTGGGGGTAGAAGATTTGAAGGGAAGATGGAAGGTGAAGCAGGTGACTGTAAGGGAACAAGAGTATGAAAAAATAGAAAAAAAATAATACATTAAGACCATAGTAGAAGAAGAGGTTGTACCGGCCTCTTTTGTACACATAATTCTGGTTTTTCAAAATGTATGGCTATTGCCTCGGCAATGCAAAGAAGATGCAGTCTAATTGTCTTAGGAAGGCTTCTACTTACCTTGTAGATGACTTTGAACGCAGAGTCTGTCTTGATTGAGTGACCTGTGTTCACAAGGTGTTCGAATGTAACCAACAAATTAAATCAGTCTCCACAAAATCACTTCAATTTAACTGTACAACCGTTAGCTCAATAGTGATTTATTTCACAATGTAATTATGAGTTTTGTTCCTTATCGGGACTAACCAGACAAATCGCTCCACCAACTAAGAACGGCCATGCACCACCACCCACCGAACCAAGAAAAAGCTATCAGTCTGTCAATCCTCACAGTGTCCGGGCCGGATGAGCTTTTCCGTGTTGGATCGAATTACACCGAAGACTCCACTCCTGGTGGTGCCCTTCCGTCAGTTCCTTTAAGTTTCAGCTTTGCAACCACAACCCCCCTGGAGCCCAAAGACTTAAAGGTTTACCAGGGACTGCCTGCGATGTCAATCAACACGGAGAACATCAACCTAGTCACTTTTGATGGAGAAGCTCTGGAAGAAGTGGAAACGTTCATGTTCCTGGGCAGTATCATTGGTAAACAAGGAGGATCTGATGCAGAAATAAGAGGATTGGCAAAACAAGTATTTGTAAACAATTGTCTACGCAAGATACTCGATGTTCGTTGGTCGGATACCATGAGGAATAGCCTATTGTGGAAGAGAACAAACCTGCTCCCCGCTGAAGAGGAAATTAGGAAAAGACGTTGAAAGAGGATAGGACATACATTGAAGTAATACCAAACTGCATCACGAGGCAAGCGATGGCTTGCAATCTTCACGGGGAAATGAGAAGAGGAAGGCCGAAGAACACTACGTCGGGAAATGGAAGCAGACATCAGAAGGATGAATAGCTACTGGAAAGGATCCCCATGACAGGATGGGATGGAGAATTCTGATATGCTCCTCCACGAGGAGTAACAGGCGTAACGAAAGTGAGTCACTTTGCATCGATGTTTATTTGTCTAAATATAATATATAAAATATTACCTTAGTAACATATAATAGGCACCACATTGTCGAATCATATGATTTACGATTTATATTGCAAACTTGGTTGGCCGAATTTTACCAATACTAATAGCTACTTAACGACTGACTAAGACAGCATTTAAAATTTACCGTTTGCACTGACGCACAGGAATACTTGCAATTACACTTTAGTTGTGTTTGAAAAGATTAATACAATGAAGATGACAACTGTAATGATAGGACGATGTTCGTAAGATCAGTAACTCGAAGTAATCAATTATATGTACACAAAAGTATGCAATATATAGTTGGCTACCTTTCATTTTAATGTTACCAATGAAAACAGGCAGTATTAGGAAGACCGATTCAATCGTCAAGCCTAAGATTCCAGAATTCCTAACCTGTATAGCAATGTCCCAAATCCTACAATCTGAATTCGAAGCTGCAACATTATCTTTGGAAGCATCGCAGCTAAATGAGCCTTTACAAACCACGATTTGGTTAGCCCGTGTCATAATCATCTATGAAGTCGATACCAGTAACTCCATGTGAACAACTTTCCTTTCAAGGTCGACATTAATACTACATAAGCAGTCCCATTACATGTGAATGCCGTGTTACCATAGCTACCAGGCTATTTCTTAACCGCTTATTAGAGCTTCTTGAGAATATACAGTTTTATCACTTTTTTAACTGAAGACTAAAGAGATGTAGATGAGGTGATAAATGTAAAGTACCTTTCTCGAAATAGAGGAAGTGTAAAGTGTGGACGACTGGTCTCATGAAAACAATCGATTAGTTACTTTTCATTTGCAGCAAGAAAACTGTTCGTCACTGCTAACACTAAAAGCAGGTATACTCCGCTTCAATTTAGGACATGCCATAAACACGGCTAGATTAAAAAGTTATAACATGATAATTATACACACAGACGTAGAAGTCATCAAATATCAAAACCAGTTATAAGAAGGGATTTATTTTGATGTGTAGATTTATTGACTCACAGAAATACGAATTTAGGCAACTAGAACCAAATGCAATTAAAAGAACGATTTTGGTTAAGTCTGTATAATCCATCGAGCTGAGTTAACGGCTCTGCGAACCAGGAACCACTGGACTTGTAAACGACTAGACATATTAATCCTGGTCGCACTACTATGATTGTAAGCTCTACTTGACATTGTGACTAGTCTTGTGGGGATAGTGGAACGTCATGTGCTTCCGAACAAGACGGTCTTCTTAAACCACATCTTGACCTTGTCACTTATTGGTTTATATATTCTGTTTTTAAATGAGTGTATGTATGTGCACATCTTATCCTACTCATCACATATCTGTAGCTTATTTTTATCTGGCTTAAAATATTGATTACATCGAGTTGGCTCACTTGTCTTATCCACCACATGTCATTTCGCTTCGCTCTCTTCTCTTCGTTTCTCAGCTCGTTTGTCTGGATCAACGATTGTATGAAATATATGTTTACGAAATTGATTCTCGTATTTGACTTATTTAATTCTGTTATTCACTAACGCGGATTAAGTCGATAATTGTATACGAGGATAGCCGACATCACAGCAATCATTCAACAACGACCATTTGTCCGATCTAACTGGAGTCAGGTTTCGGGTCACAAAAGTCTAGTCCAATTTAAAATCCCACAACTTCAGAGGATAAAACAGTTCAAAATCACTATACGGCTCACAATCAAGAAGTACTGATACGATTTCTGTCTCATTTTGTCTACTTTTGGGTTTGAATATAGATATTCAATCGACATAAAGATACACACCTAAAGTTCAATAACTTCATAGTGGTAAATAGTGATTTGATAATTCTGATACTTATAAGGATATGTGCACACGAGCTACCACCTAAACACTTAAAATGTGATAAAGGATGTCATACGTTTTTCACAAGGTAACTACCATTAATGAATCGTAAGTAGTATTATCTAAGATTTGGGTAGAACTCCAAATCATACGCGTCAAAATAGTAATAATTGAAAAAATTGGTTCTCATAATGTCGAGTGTATACTATATTTTACTAATGTCTATGTATGTTACATATCTAAATTTTTATAAAACTCCTAGTTCATCGTCAGTAAACGTCTTAGGGTCAGGGAGTACTGCATGGCCCTGGAAAAAAGGGTTAAAGATATACCATACTTACAGTCAATTCTTCAGGATGATTAATGAGAAAATAAGTAATCCAGGCCCAGAAAAGAGTCATTACAAACTGGCTTTTTCTTTCTTCTTCAAAATCTCGCTCAATGTAATCCCTGTACATAAACCTGAAAAAGGCAGGTTCGTGGTTAAAAAACAAAGGGCAAGTCTGCAATATATAAATAAAGCATGAATTACAAATTTAAATGTCTGAAAATCTGCTAAGACGTCGAATTACAGTAAAATGGTTCATCTAGTTTAAGTATTTAAATAATTACGGTTGTGAAGGTGGACACAGGTAGTTGCGAAAGATGTTCACTGCTATCAGTTACTGATGACTTCAAAATCCAGTGTAGGACAACACAGAGAGCTATTACTAGGATATGGCTGTTAAGCTTATTAAGTTATCAGTTATCTACCGAATTTGTTCAATATTGGTTACTTACAATCGGGGGTACGACTTTCCTGGACAAAACTTTACTGTTTTGAACAAACAGAAAACTGCACTCTGAAATCGCATACTTATTCATTTCTTATTAAAATATTACATATAGAAATAAACGCAAAATGAAAACAACCTTGGTTTCGTGCTATAAAAAGGAACTTTTTCAGAAGAACTGTCGCTAAATTCTCGTAGGGTTACAAAGCGTGATTTGAGAAATGGTCTCAGTCTCCCAAGGAACATCGCACTCTTCATTATATGGTCTCTCGGTTGTCTAATTCTATCCTGAAAACTTGCAGGACAAGTTGCTTTTGTCTCGTCAAATAAGATACTGAAAAAGGCAAAAGACAAAAAAGGACATGATGACCTGAAGTCGTGTGACAGTCTAAATAGATATTCCTATCAAGGAATTATAGGGCCTTGATTGGTAATAAGACTATTATAAGATTTCTGGTGAGAAACAGTCGTCACATCAAAAACCACATAAAAGGTAGTGAAGATGTCGAATTAGATTATCTTGGAATGCAAAGTGTATGGTATCATCGGAAAGACTCATTAGATAGGAGCTTGTTCGGAATCAAGTATATCAGAAGCAGAGATGCTGCATTATTAAACCTGATGCTTTTCCGTTGTCAGCTAGCTTGAAGGCAAAGTAGCAAAACCAGTAAGAATTTCGAAACATTCAAAAAAAGCAAAAGCCTAACAAAAAACCTATGGCCTAGATAATGAGCTTCTATTTATTCTTGAATCCCTTAAACTGATACCTACAGCCGTATCTACAAAAAAAGACAATATAAGGTAGAATCGAATGGATGTAAATCTATGAAATGATGTGCAGGAAATTATCCTCAAACGAAGGCGATTGGATAGTAAGTATGTCACTGCCATAATCCACTTTTAGCGAGTTCAAGTTTTATCTCGCCACACACTACTTTCAGACAAGCAAAGGTTCTCGAATTTGGGGTCTAAAAACTCCGCACCCTGTTCCGAATAAAATAGCGCGATAAAAAATCGCTAGGAATGCGATCAACCATAAAGAGGAATTCCGCTCGACCTGTGGCGAAATTAATATACAGAAAGTAATCATAATGACCTGGAGAACATTTCAAAATCGCAGTCGGTGTTCCCATGACAGCTAATTATGCATAGCAGTTGAAGAGTTATGTGGGTACTCCGCAACCACAGGCTATTAGATAACAAAACCCCCTTGATTGTTTGCTAAGGGGACCGAGAAGTTGCATCAGTCCCTTGTTAGCTCTGAAAACATCCGCAAGTTATATATATATATATATATATATATATATATATATATATATATATATATATGACAGCCTGATCAGCGTCATGGACAGAATCGGTTGAACAACCACAGGATGTACATTTATGTCCATTAGCAGATGTATAATGATGATTAGATCCCAAAATCCAGATCGCTGAGAACTTACGAAAAATACCACCTGAACACAAGGCCAACTAATACGTTTTTATCGCAGCACAATTTTAGTGGGGACGAACTAAAGCAAGTTATTATTTCTATCAAAGATATGGACTTAGGTCTGACTCAAAGTCATAGTTACACAAAATATCTACAAAACATAACTAAAATAACCGACCGTTTAAAAACTGAGATAAGCGGCATAGTATGGGCTCACTACCTATGACTTTTATGTCACTACTCATCCTATGAAGATTCTACTCTCAGATGGATCAGTGGCCATATATTGAAAATCACAAAACATATCTCACCGCAGCGCGCCAAGTGTGTTTACCGCTATAGTTATCCAATATCCAATATATATTTTAATATTAGCACGTTATGTTGTGCAGTTTTTGGAACCCCTCAGAGTTCTGTTACCTCATTATTATGAAAGCTGGGTTGTGTAATGATGCAGTACTATTATTATCAACATCGAGTGACATTTTATCTACAACACCCATATAATTGAGTAACCCACTGATTAGTAAGTGCGTTGGACTAGCAAGTATGTGGTAGAAAAAAACGAATCTCAGATTCCTAAATAACCGATTTACCAAGGAACACTTACGTATATCTATCTATATGCTAGATATTACTGGTAACTGCAATAAACTCATGAAAAGACTTACATCAAACTGGCGTTGTGCAGCATTTGGATTACACTTGATATGAAACTGAAAACATTCATGTTTACAACTGATGGTATTTGGGGTTCAACATAGTCAGAATCTGTTGTTCTAACTGATCATAGTTATACTTGTAGGTGGCAAGACGTTTGAAATTGTAACTTCTCTTCAGTCTTACACACATTCATTAATATTTGTCCACCAAATTATCCTTGCAGAGTAACAGTAGAGGTGTACTTTTCAAGTTTACGTTGCTGTGTGATTGTGAAGCATGGAGATAATTGTTCGCGACTAGTGTTAGTAGATAACGATTACCAGGTTGGGTTTCATGCGATTAGTTGTCCAGGGCGTTTACCAAATGCTGCGATCATGAACTTGACGTATTCAACTTTTAGGTGGATATGTTTGAGATCTATATGTCTTATTGTAACATGCACTACACTAAGATTATTATGTTCAAGACCAGGGACGTCACCTAAGCTTCGCTCTAAGTGGTTTGCTATCTGCAAATATATTCAGTATCTTCGCCACGAGCTTGTACCAACTGATTGAATTCTTTGCACTTGCTTGCTGTTGTTTCGGTACGGTCCTAGGTATTCGGTTACGTGCTATGTTTGGTGGTCTAGCTACTCGACTTCACTAATTCTAGTCAGTGTGATAGTTGTTTGCGGGTCTGTTTATCTTGTAGTTGAGTGAGTGCATTTATCTTAGGAAAGTGGGGATTATGGATACCAGCCGTTATCACATTTTCTGGCAGGAGGCTAGTTGGTTGCAATGCAAATATAATGTTTTGAATTAATTGAATTATAGCACGAACTAAGAGTCCCAGAAGTAACGCAATTGAATTAAGAAGTAAGACACAAGCACAAACGGATTTATTGTATTTGGAATTCGAAATCAAGCATTCAACAAGTACAAAGGTATCATTGGTTCATTCAAACACCACATCCACCACAGCTTAGATTGGAGTCTAGGTGTTTGTAATCAATCGTTTATCTTCTTCTCAAATTCATCCTGAGTCTGTCTGACATTGTATTGGATAAGGATTCTGTATTATCTAGAATATGCTCATAAGCATTAGAATTAACAATCGAAATTGGAACTGACTCACCTGGTTCCTGAAATTGTATTTGATCTACATGGAGACTATGTGTACTTAAGTCATCGATGTCTAGAATTCGCACCATCGATTTTCCGACATTCTTCAGAACAATACCCGTAGATGGTCGAAGATCATTTCCTCGATAGTATGTAACTTCTGCAGACTCCAAACATCTCATATTCGACCGAAGAATTCTTCCTGTCAATAGCTTCGCTGAAGTCTCCTTCGTCACCGAATGTCTGGCATTTCTATGTTGCAATAGAAAGGTATCTACTCCCCTCTCCAGCTCATTAAATGTTGAGGGGGCTATAGAAATAATAGCAGTCTTTAATGTCCTAACAAAATTCTCTGCCTGACCATTAGAACACGGATGTCTGGGGGCAGCAAAGAGATGTTTGCACCCTATACCGTTCAACCAGGTAGTGACTGCATCTGCAGCAAAATATGAGCCATTATCAGTCACCAACACCATGGGAACCCCTTCTCGACTAATCACCTTTCTTAATGCTTGTATTGTGAAATCAGAATTTGGTGAAGTTGTGAAAAAAACTTCAGGCCACTTTGAAAAAGAATCAATGACTACTAGTGCGTAGTATTTACCAAGAAATGGTCCACAATAGTCAGCATGAATCCTCTGCCAGGCCTCAGACGATATTGGCCATGGCACCCACTTCGAAGGATGATTTTTCAACTGATGACATTTCTCACAATTGCTTGCCGTACGACATATATCTGCATTTATCTCTGGCCACCAGCATGTGAGTCTTGCCAAGGACTTCATTTTCTCAACACCTAAATGACCACTATGAAGATCTTCAAGAACAGATTTACGCAACGAAGGAGGAACGATAACACGATCATTTAAACACAGAATACCATCAGGAGTAGTAGATAGCTCATCCCGCTTTGAAAAATAGATAGGAAATCTACGTTTCAAATTAGCATTCCAACCTTTCCTTATAGCACTGAGTATACATCCAAAATATCTACGCGTTTCTTTAATGAGATCTGAACGTCTCACTGGTAAAGGTTGCACTAACAAACAATCCGAAGTATTAATAGGTTCATCTTGTAATGACTGTCGAGAAGTGTGATCAACATGTTGAATCTGTTTGGCACTTCTGTGCCGAACCGTATAGTCATATGCACCCAAAGCAATACCCCATCGCTGAACCATAGCAGCTGAGGAATGTGCTAAGGATTTTTAGGGATGATAAATAAACTTTAAAGCTTCATGATCAGTAACAATAGTGAATTTCTTTCCGAATAAATATTTATGAAGTCTCTTAACAGTCCAAAACACAGCTAATGCTTTCCGCTGAGTCTGTGAATATCCTTGTTCAGTAACAGTAAGTTTGCGTGAAACACAAATAACTGGTCTACCTTCCTGTTCCAAAACTGCACTAATTCCCACAGGTGATGCATCAGTGATAAGCACAGAATGTACATTAGGGGAGTACGTTCGAAGAACAGCATCACTTTGAAGAAACTTCAGTAGACTTCGTAAGCATGACTCTTGTTCCTCACTCCATTTGAATGAACTGGATGTTAAAATATTAAATAAACAATTCGCACGACAAGAAAAATTAGGAATAAAACGGGAATAGTATTGAAGAGCACCCACTAGTGAACGTAATTCTGTAAGATTTTTCGGAGACGGTGCATTAGTCAGTGGAGCTAGTCGTTTCATATCTGGTCTAAAACCATTACCATCAACTAGGTATCCAAGGCATTCAAAACTAGATACACAAAATGAACACTTATTTGGATTCACTGTTATATTCTTCTCAATTAAACGACGCAATAAAGCAATAAGTCTCTGGTCATGAACTACCTTATTAGAGCCATGAACAATGAGATCATCTTGATAAAATTCAACACCTTCAAGATCACTAACTACTTTATTCATAACTTCCTGAAATATGGCTGGAGAACAACTTAGACCACATGGAAGGAAATTGTATTTGAACATACCAAAAGGAGTGTTAATTGTCGTCAAAATAGATGAAGATTCATCTAGAGGAATTTGAAGATAAGCATCTTTTAGGTCAACTTTCGAGAACACTTTAGAACCATGAAGTCGATTTAGAATATCTTCAGCTTCTACCGTCGTGCACGTTTGCTTCAACAAACGGGAGTTCAGAGTTAATCTATAGTCACCGCAAATTCTAGGGGTCTTGTCGTTCGACTTCAGTGGCGTAACGATAGGAGTACCCCATGCTGAAGACTGAATTGATTCAATTATGCCTTTCACACACAAATCGTTTAATGTCTTATGTACTGCTTCTCGAAGACCATAAGGAATTATTCGTCTTTTAAGAAAGACGGGATCACCCTGTACTTGAAGTTTTATAGGCTTAATTTTCATACCTCCACTGCACTTAGCACACATAGCTATCAAATCTTTAAGTAAAGTATCAGAATTTTCTTTAGAAACTAAGAAGGACAACTCCACCTTAAGCCTTTTCAAATTCTTTAAACCCAATATTGACAGTCTTGTTTCGCTAACTAAAAATTCACAAGGTATGTATGAAGAATTGTCATCTCTTAGTAGCAATTCACAACATCCTCGTATGGGCAGTCTGTGTCCAGTAATCCCCAATATTGATACTTCAGTGGGTCGTACAACAACGTTAGGATCTAAAGCTTTCAAGTTCTTGAATGAAATAATGGACTCTATACTGCCTGTGTCCAGAATAAAGTCATGAAATGAACCAAGCGATGTTTTCGTTCGTCGAGACTCGCATCGAAAACCATTCGAATCAGCATGCGAAGGATCTTTCAAAGTTCTTCAACGTGAATCTAAGTACTATATAGTCGATAAGAACGGAACAAACGATAGCATCAGCATAGATCGCTTAAAAGCAGCGTATTTAGAAGGAAATCCTATCCACGTCGATTTTCCTTCAGTACAATCGAACGACACGACTCCGACACTTATAATACCTCATCCGACAACCAACACACACGATGATACTTCGACAGTATCCGAAAATAAACTTAAAACGACGCGTTCTGGAAGAAGGGTGAGATTTCCAGAACATTTAAACGACTATTGCACGTAAGGCACTTCTCGACATTTTATATTATTTTTTAAAAAAAAACAATTTTAATATGCTTATATATTTTTATTTCTATTTAAAAAAAGAAAACAAAAAAACAATTTTTTAACGCTATTACGTGTTCATGAGTTTATTTTCCATTTTTTTACGCCGACATTGTGTTTTTACGCACATACGAGTGCATTTCGACATGCACTTACATTTTCTTTTTTCTTTTCCAGGACGGCTGGAAAAGAACGATGACGTTTATGAGGATCCGAAATTTTCATTGTACATTTTATTTTTTTACTATGTTGTACCTCCGTCCCATATAGTAAGGAAAGACGACTAGACGCTGCTAAATTTAGTAAGCTATCAGAAGAGTGTTTACCAACGACAAACTCTTTGGGTTTAAACTTCTGGCTGGCCACGTCTTAGGGTCGTCACTGCCCCACTAGGGGGGGAGTGATCTGTAGCGGTAAATAAATCCCCAAAATAAATAGCTCTGTAAGTTTTCGACATTGGATGCTGACCATATGTTTTAGTGGACTCATTTAGCTGAAGGCGCTCGGTCAGGCATCCGCACCAGATCACGTGTGGTAACGC